AAAATTGTGTTGTGTCAACCTCTCGCTTTGTTTGCGGAGCTGCACACAAAGGGGGGGTTGTAGGATAAATTAAAATTACCTCTTTCCTCAATCAAAGACATTTTGTTGTATATTGAGACATCTTATAACTTCTGTCTCCACTGTGTGTAAATCCTTGTGGTTCAGGTTTTATTGTGGGCAAGAATGTCTTAAGATAAGTGCCATGGCAACACCCTTCCCCCAACGACTCTACAACAAGGGAAGACAAACCAGTCTGCTTTGGAACCACGGAGTGACCAGACCTCCCTGGGCTCTGCCCTGGGCTCTGCTCAGGAAACCAAGGGGCCTTGGGCCTCTTAGATGGCCTCAAACCTCAGCTCCACGTTTGAGAGGACTTCCACAACCCTTCAATAGCCTCCAGCTTCAACCTGAAGAAGTTGCTGAGTTTTGGCACCTAGACTGTGGATCGTGGGAGGACTTGGTTCAGCCACATGATGCAGCTGCATGGTCCAGGCCCCGTGGACAAGAAGCCTCCATCCACCACCATCAAGACCCAAGGACTGCTATTCACCAAAGGCTATTCTGGTTGTATGATCTGCGCTCTTGCTACACACAGCTGTTGGCTTTATTAAAACCTATACTTCAAAGAATATTTCTCCTACCAAGGCTGAACACATGCAGGCCTCAGCCTATACCAATCCATTCATAGACAAAGGTCTTGCTTAGCTCACTTTAGCCTAGCATTTTAACAATGTATCTTGAAATCAATGTTTCCTTCATGTTATTCTTGACAATTTGCATATTTAATATCTAGTCTGTATTGTGTATACTTCATTAAATCTACAAAACCATCTTTGTCTGAAAGTGATATTTGTACTTTTAACTCCAGAAATTGGGTCACTGATTTGTAAAAGAATTCACTACCTTCAGATTCTATTGAAGAGAATTGGACTAATTAGCTAATTAAATAATGAAAGAACTCATGAGATTACTTAATCAATAAATGAGCCAATTAATTGATATTGTGACATCATATGCACGTTATCAGTTGGGAGTTATTCCCTGGTGCCCCTAAATAAAGCTATTATCAATTATTGTATTTATTACATGGTTGTTTTTATCCAATTCTCCGATATCAGGTACATAACTTAAGTTATGTGTGATATCGACATTTTCTCACCCTACATTAGTAAAGATTTAGTAAAGAACCGCCCTCTCCACTTTCTGAACAAAACTCTCTGGTCTTATTTGACGAGCACGTATCACCAGAATGATTGACAGTTGGGAGGAGCAATAGCTTTGATGATCCACCCTGTGGTAGACAATCCTCCTATATACCTTTAACTTACAACATCAACATAAGATGGGGCACAGGGGTCACGGCTTTGGTTAAAATTACCAAAACCCGATCCAAAAATATTTTGAATATTGGCACCAATATCCGATACTAGGATTGTATCGGTGCATTTCTATTTCTGTTTTGGGGATTTTATGGTTTTAACTTTCCCTTCTGGTGATTTTAAGTCCAAATATTGAAATAATGCTTTTTGTTACCATTAAGTCTGTCAATCTTCGCTGTTGATTAACTGGTTGATAGAGTCTGTGTCAACCAAATGTTGTATTAGTCAGCAAAAAAAAAAATTCATCAATTAGTAAGTAATTTTTATTTATAGCACCTTTTGCAAACAAAGTCACTTTTCCTTTCCACACAGTGATGGAAGCTACACGAGGCACTTTCCAGACCTTATTGTACATACATTGACACAAGGAGAACATGCAAACTCCACACAGAAATTATAATCATTTCTATATAAAATCTTTAAGATAAGGAATCAAAATGGCTGAAGACTTTAATAATTGCTTCACACATTTAATCTAAATATTTCATTGTCTAAATAAGTTTTTAATTGAATTGAAGTTTGTGAGTACACAGTTTGGGTCATATATGTCAATCAGTTTTCTGAGATGTAGCCACACCCCCTTTTCAGCCAACCAATCGATCGTCTAGACTTTGTCCAGCTTCTATAAATGTCTCTAAACCTTCTGTCACAAACATGTCATGAGTTAGCCTGGTTGTACCACACCATAGTACAAATTAAATTCCGTACTAAGGGCGAGGTGCTCCATTGAGCTCCGTTTACAGGTGGGAGGTGTTAACTCCTTTTGCAGATTGAAACGATTGGATCTGAGTTTACGGTGACGAATGTAGTGCGCCCGAGTCTGTTGTTAGCATTTAGCATTTAGCCTAGCTATCTCCTTTGCCACTAACGGAGCCCGTGGGGAGTAGTGCTACAATTTTTCCAGCGATAACATTTGCTAAACATTACCCTTGCTCCGGCTTCAATTTCTTTATAGAACCAGACCGGATTACTTTACTATCGCATTTTTCGCCATTACCAAACTGCAACCTGCCTGTTCGACGAAAACTCTTGACAACACCCACAACTAACTACAACACATGCCTTCCGCGTTCGCTGATTGGTCGGTCGAAATTCAACCGATTGTAATCACAAACACAGGGACCAGACCCAGACTTTACATGCAGTGAAATGATGATTGAACGGAGTGTACGGATGGATAAGACCAGGCTAGTCATGAGTGAACGAATGCTCCCAGTGCGGCGTCACGGTGGGAGAACTATCCGCTGCCTCAGACCTCACGCTGCGCCGACTTGTCATTGTTTAAATTTAGAACAAAGTCTGAAGAGAGTGTTTTATCTTTCTTTCAGAACACACTCTTTTCTAAGCGTTCCATTTCCGTCTTTCATATCGTCTCTTGTTTTGTCAGCCCTTCCCTCTTTCACAGTTCACAAAGCCAAAAGCATCATCCTTGCTTCATTTCCCGGCCTGTAACTTGAATTTTATGAGGTAGAAAGCTCACTATAACGCTATAAATCATTTGCGTAGCTGCCTCATATAACCCTAACACCTTTCCCCGTTGCGCGCGTGCATATTGTGCATGAAGTCGGCGTGGTCCTCGGTTCTACGTCGTACGCTGTGTGATAATTACGTTTGCACTCATAAACAGACTATTTGGAGCACGGCTGTACAGAGGCGTGGAGGAGACGGTGGCGGCTCGCTCTCTGACGCACTGTGGGAGCTCATTACGGTTTCCTTTGGGCTGGAAAATGTCTGTCAGTGCAGATTCATTAGAAGCCAACCTGCTCGGCCAACGCTTGCTACTGCTCTAATGAGGGGTCCCGCACAATTTGGGTTTGAGCGGCTATTGTCGGATTGGCAGCTTAATCTCAGCTGTAGTCTGGTGGAAGCAATCAAATGTAAGTCTGTGTAAGAGCTAGTCATTAGAAACAGAGTGTAGTGAGAAGACTAGTGTTCTACAGTTAGAGAAGCTAAAGCTGCTTGGAACTTTAAAGCTGGTGTACATTTATTCATTCTTTTTTTACCCCTTTTAATAGTCCATTTTTGGGTTCGGGGTTGACAATCAGAGCTACTACAGAATGCTCATAGCACCAGTCCCATACTGATCCTCCTGCAGGTGGTGGGTCCACGATAAGATGGCTGCTCCGTCAACGGCAGCCTTGGTCTTTCAGTGGGGGCTTCGGGCAATGTGGTGCAAAGTGTCTTGCCCAAGGACAAAACAACAGCAGCCATGAGTGTGAGCAGTTGGAGTAGGGCCCCGTCCCAATTCTCACCCTTGCCCTCAAAAAGCACCCTTGCCCTAGATTTTGCGCGTGCCCGCGGGGGCTGTAGGGTGTCCCAATACTTAGGGTGAAGAGGCGAGGGCCCTCACACCCTTAAACACCACCCTTGAGCGCAAGTGTGGTCCGGAGCTCACTCGCGAGCGAGGGTGATCCCATGATGCATTACGATAGTTGTTGGTAAAGTAGCTGTCGGGCATAGCTGCGCCACAATGAAAGAAAACAACATGAAACACCCGGGCGCAAGTTTGTGCGGAACGTGAGGAAGCTCCGAAGTGTGTGCGAGTCACTCAGAGTTTTTAAAGCGTGTGTTGGTGCCGTGTGCGGTGACGTTCGCTCCCGAAGCAATAGCTAAGAAGTGTGGAGTTCATGAGGCTTCAGAGACGTGGTGCATGTTATTATTATAGATCCATGATGTCGTTCATTGCTTTGACAAGCGCTTTGTGATCCACGGCTGTACTCGTCTGTCTCTGTGCGCGTACGTGTATGTACATGTGTCTGTCTGTGTGGTACGTCTTTGTGCGCGTACGTATGCGTCTGTCTGTCTGTGTGTGTGTCTGCCTCAGTGTGTGTACATGTGTGTTTGTGTGTGTGTGTGCGACCTGGAGGGCCCTCAGATTTGGGACGGGGCCTAGGTCTCGTGGGGGGATTGAACCCACTAGACAAACTGCTGTTGCGTCACAGACACTTCACAGACATTGCCAAGACAAGTGTGTGATTGAATGATTGCTGGGGGCCGCAGGGGCTGATGACACATACAGGTTGCAGGGCAGCTGTGGCTACTGTTGTAGATCCTCATACTATACAATGATAATAACATGTCCACAAAAGTGCTATATAAAATGGATGCTTTATTGTTTGTATCAAATAGTGACTTTAAGGGCTTTTGGTTGTTGTTGTATGCATGAAATAAAATGTTTTGATGAATTGTTCACAAATTACTTTTACAAGACTATTTCTGTTTTTCTGTTTTTCTTATTTTTTATCATAATTAACCTTTATTGAACCAGGAAAGTCACATTGAGATTAAGAACCTCTTTAGCAAGGGAGTTGGAAAAACTACATGTGTCATTTGTTTTTAAAAGAAGTTAGGTACCCCAGCTTTAATGTAGGGAGCTTCTGCTACTATTCTTGGAGTCTGGATTCTCCCTCTCTCGTTCAAATGTCTGAGCTGCATTATGAAGCAGCTCTTATGTGCGTCCCGTGTGCTAAAGATTTCTTCTGCTTTCTTTTGTGTCTTTGCATCGATCATCACAAGTCATTTCCAGCGTTGCTCTCTGCACATTCTGTTGACTGCTTTGTTCTCATTTCACAAAACCGTCAGAATAATGGACTAATCTTTCATTTCTGTCTCTCTCCACAGAGCCGTACCCCTCGCGTCACTCGCCTCAGCCCCCCGCAGCCCGCCCTCGCCGACCAGGCCAGTCGAGTTTCCTTCGCTTCGGCCGAAAACTTGGAGACCATGTCCGAGCCAGACGTCCCCATCGGATTCAACCGCATGAACCGGCTGAGACAGAGCCTGCCGCTGGCCCGCTCCTCCAGCCAGGCCAAGCTGCGCGCCCCAGGTCAGGGCATGAGTTAAGTGGGCTTCAGTGTAGCCAAGTGTTATTGAAGGAAAGGGGAACATTTATTTATTTTAATTGTGGACTGTAAAATGACATACTAGAATTACATTTCAATGAATTGTAGTCCAGCCCATAGATTTATGGACAATGCTAACCTCCTAGCGACCTAGCTCAATGAAGCCTAACAGGGAAGTGCTCATGGAAGTTTTGCTCGGGCTCCGATTGACCATTTTGAACTTAGAAATCTGTGGTCGGAATCTCTGCGATCCTGGGTTTTAATTTTGATATAGCCTTTGTAAATCCAGATATTAGCCATAAGGATTGACCAATCAGAGGCCTTCATGTGCAGGACCAAACGTATCCTTGTAATGTAAGGATGGCATTTCCAGTCATGGCACAGGTGAAACTCTGAAAATTAGAGTTCAAAATGTACTCACAATGTGAAACTAATGTAGCACAGTGAGATATATCAAGCTTTTATTTGTTATAATTACGATTTATGGTTTTATGGTTATTGGATAATTATTGCTTACAGCAATATTTTGAGCCATAATTAGCAACATTATAACAAACAGAAATTGTAGACAACCCTTTGCGCAGAAGGTTTTGAGTTTTATCCCCCCAAAAGAATTACTCCACCTACTCCCACTGATGTCTGCTGTCGTTGTGTCCATGGGCAAGACACTTAACCCCACTTTGCCTGAAGCCCCCCAAAAAAGCAGCCATCCTCCTATGAACCCACCACCCGCAGGAGGAGCAGTGAGGGGCTGGTGCTTTGGGTTAATCTCCCCCAACCAAGAAATGGAATAATATGGATGGATGGAGTCTATATGATAATTCGTTTTAAGTTGAAGTACAGAAATAAATTGGTTTTTTAGTAGTTTTCTAATTTGCAGAGTTTCACCTGTATTTCAAGATAACCATATTTAATTTATTGCTTAAATTACTCGTTTTCTTTCATGTTTGATCACTTGAAGTTGAAGCCCATAACCGTAGCTATAATTGTGTTATTAGGGAATAGTTTTGGAAGATAAGCAGTCAGATCGTGAGCCGAGTCCCAGTGCGGTGAGATGGCTGTCGCCTCATCAGAGGTGACAGACGGCATCAATGTAAATCGAGTGAACCGGTGTCGAGTGAAAGTCAGTTGTGTACGGATAGGTTCAGGAACAGGGAGGATTTTAACAGAGCTGTCTGCTGCCTGCCTCATTACCTGTCTCCTGTGATTAATGACGCGAGCCAAGAGCAGATTCATTTTCCACTTTCACATGTCTATCCACACGTGACACAGATGAGCTTTTAGACAGGGATTCAGTTCTATTATTAGTTTAATTCATGCGTTGTTTTAATTCATCATACAGGGACATTTATTTAAGAACGATATATACAGTGGTCCCTGGTTTATCGCGAAGGTTATTTTCTAAATATAACCTGCAGAAAGCTAAAACTGTAAACCGCAAAAGGGACCACTGTATTAACATTATTTTCAGAGGCCAATTCTGTGGGTAAATGTGATGTACAAAGCCAAACCAAACGCTCATAGTGAATATCAGGTACTTTTCTAATTATGAGGAAAGAGCAAATCTTTTTGACAACAAACGCTGGTTAGACCCGCCCACACTCACCGCAGCAGCTTCCTGATTGGTCAAAATCAATTCCAATCCTTGTGGCCGCTTGTCATGGGTTTAACTATTCTCCTCCAGCAGATATTAGGAACTATTTAAAATATATTATTGTTGAAAAATACTTACTTTACATAATAATACAGTGACCCATGGAGACACTTTTTTTAAATCAGATACAAAGTTTAAGCTGCAATCACCTTTAACTCTTAAAAATCATGGATGAACAGAAATGTATAAGGACTTGGGCATAAAGAAATCCCTCCATTGTCTTTATCCGTTCTTGGGTTGCGGTCTACTCTCGCTGTGTATTCTGAGGTGTTCCCAGACCAGCTGAGAGACATGGTCCCTCCAGCTTATCCTGGGTCTGTCCTAGGGTCTCCTTCAGGCAGAACATGCTCAAAAATAAGAAAATTGTGCAAATCTCACAAAAACATTTCCGCCACAAAATCGAATTATCATAACCACATGCTTATTGTAAAGTGGCTTTTGTGCAATCATTGTTATCGCCACCATAATTACCCTTTCTTACCGCATTACGCCTACGTACATTTACAGCACTTGAGTATTATTTTGAGATTGACAATTCCAGGAGCAGTCTGTGCCGAACATACAATGACCACCAGCTGGGCTCTTTCTGCCCCAGTCATGAATCATGTTGATAAAGTGCCCGTACTCCCTCACACTTAACTTAAGCTAGGTAAGACTGTCCAATTGCAGCTGTTCCTTCCCCGTCTGAGTAAAACTAATGAGGGGATGATTGTGATAGCCCGTCTCTTGGGGGTTTAATTGTTGAGATGCAATTAATTAGGTGCCTGATGGTGCAACAGTCCAACGGTGCTACAGCCGTGGTATTGATCGTCTTCATCAAAGGATATACAACATTATCAGACACTTACTGCTTACAATATTGCTGTTAATTGTGTGTCTTTATCACTTTGCCTCACTGGTGGCAAGGTTGTTTTAATTTAGGCCAACACTAATGAATCAGAAATGAGCTATCGATACTTTTGTTATGTAGTGAGTTATGTGTTTTATAGGGGGTTGGATACTGTGATTTATTTCCACTGTTCTCCAGCAATCTTGATAGCATGACTGAACTTGAACACAGATGTAAAAGGCGGGAAAACCATGCTGTACAAGTTGAATTACATTGTTGAATTTTGTCCCCCACTCTCTTCATCCCCGCCGTCACTGTACCCCCCTCATTGCTGCGCCCCGTCCATAAATGCAGGGATCTTGTTCCTGCAGCTCGGAGAGGAGACTCGAAGGGTGCACCTGACCCACGAGCTGACCAGCCTGGACACGCTGAGGGCGCTCATCGTGCACATGTTCCCACAGCGCCTCACCATGGCCATGCTCAGGTAACCGCCACATTAAACTGACCTGGAGTTTTTTTTATATATATTTTTTTAGATCCATCCACATGAAAACATGTAACTTCACCCCTTTGTGATTCTACAGTGATTCAAAGTAGAAGAAAAAAAATCATAAATTAGGTTTTAAAGGAGTCTAAATGACTCCCCAGGTGGGTATTTTTTAAATCACTGTGGTGGGTAGATTTGATCCTTGGATAGCACAAGGGTTAAAAGCTCCTGTCTCAGCCTTGTACTATATGACATCACATTCAAAGCAGTTTTCTGACTTTACGAACACAAGTATCACCCCTAAATTAGATTTGGTGATTCCTCAGTTGAAAAGATATTATTTACAATCACATACTTGCAGCTGGTCTTTTTCAAATTTGAAAAAAAAAAAAAACTAGTACATCTCCTCCCTCACACTTTCCAGAGCTTCCAATCCCCCATTCATCTGGAAAAGTGAAGCCTGAGCATTGAAATAACTTGGACTGTTTATTAATATGCCACTTGTTTTTGTCCGTTGCGGATGGATATCGATGTTCAGGTCTCCAACCACAGCGCTGTTGATCAAAGATGAGACTCGCAATGTCTTCTACGAGCTGGAGGACCCACGAGACGTCCAAGATCGCTGCGTGATTAAGATTTACTGCAAAGAGCCCATTTATGGAACGTACCCTGGACATCACAACCCTCACTTGGCCAATGGAGACCTCCGAGTCAGTGTAAGTGCCTTATCAGGGTTTTATTTTATCAATAATAATAATAATAATAATGCATAGTTTTATATAACGCTGTTTTTTGACACTCAAGGACACTTCACATGACATTATTCATTCACTTCATACATACTGGTGTGAGCTGCCCTGGGGCACACTGACAGAAGTGAGGCGACCGGTATGTGCCATCAGCCCTTCCGACCACCACCGACCATTCACACACACACACCAGACTCATTCGAGGCCATGTGGTTGAAGTGTTTTGCCTGCACAACAACAGTTTGGCACTTTACAGCCTGAGTGACCCAGAGGTCTCCCATCACACTTCAGAGACAGGATCTTAACAATGAACCCAAAATGCAATTAGTAATAGAATTAAACAGTTAATCAGTTTTCACCTTTACCTTTAGTCCAGTGATGTTTTATTCAAGATGGCGCAGTAATGCCTGGCGTACATCGGACTGGCAACTGTTTTTATCCGTCGCATATGAGTTGCTGCCCCGCACACATCGACAATCTGGCGAAAACGGGCAACTCCAGTATCAGGCCAGTCTCGGGAATAACAGCGCGTACATCGACACCAACTGGCCTCAACTACAGTGTGTTTTCTGACATAAACTGTAGAGGGCGCAATACACGCAATACACACATGTTGTTGGAGCGCGCACATCGGGTGATATCTCCAAAACTGAGGACAACTAGTTGCCGAAAAGTAGAACACGGGCAACTGACTGAATCCGGAGATCGACTGTTTATCTCCAGTTGTAAGAGCGCTCACATCGACCGATTTCAACGGATCATCTCCATCATCTACTCTCCCAAAAGCCGCCTTGCAACTAGTTGTCTCGAGTTTCTCTGTCGATGTACGCTAGGCTTAAGAGATCTGGTGTGCACTATCTATTCCATGTTGTTGGTTTTAGTCAATTGTTTACTGTTTTGCTTGTATTCATTCCGTACTTTTAACCTTGTTTTATGTATATACTTGTCTTGTGCACACTGGGAACTTCCAATGTGGTTTTACTGCAAATAAATGAATCCACACCTATATACAATTAAAAATGTAAAAAATTAGGGGGCTATAAACAAAGAATAAGCTGTTCACACTTTCGTCCTGAATGTACTTCCACCAATGTCCATGAAGGCATCATGTAATTACCTAGATACAGATGTCATGATTACTAACAGGAATAACGGTAACAATCCAAATTGGCCATCACCAGTCAAGCTCTGTAAACCTCAGCATACGCTACAGAAAACCTATATCTGTCTTTTCACTGTGACTTTGGACGTCCCTGTGCTGTGATGACATAATTAGAAAAGATAAGAGTGAATAATATTTTCTTTGTGATGTCGTGGAGCTCGAAGGCGTGAGCATTTTGGCTTTTACATTGTATCGTTTGCACTTTCCCGAGATAAGCACTATTTCATCTTTTGTTTATGCTCCAAATGAAATGCACCGGTTACAAATGTGCGTTTGAAAGGTCCACAGAACTCCAAACAGAAGGGGATTTCAAAAGGCAGTATGTAAAACCACGGTGTTGAGCCAAAAAAAAGTAAGCGGGCAGACGACTACAGAAGAGTTGTATTCTTCTGGTGTGATGAATCTCCTGAGATCAGTGCCAACATGTACGGATGCCAGTGAAAGGATCCAGGCAGTGACACCTTAGTCCTCATTCAAATTCATTCTGAAGACACAGTGATCACACAGACAATGAGAGGTTTTTATTGTTTTATTTCTACGCTAATGTGTCATTGTAGCCTGGTCTTACCACACCATAGTACAAATTACATTTCGTACTAAGGTCGAGGTGCTCCGTTGATAGATAGGAGGGGTTAACTCCTTTTGCAGATTGAAACGATTGGATCCGAGTTTACCGTCACGTTTGTAATGCGCCCGAGTGAGTTGTTAGCATTTAGCATTTAGCCTAGCCATCTGCTTTGTCGCTAACGGAGCCCGTGGGGAGTAGGGCAACAATCTTTGCCAGCAATGTCTTTTGCTATACATTTCTCTTGCTCCGGCTTCAGTTTCTTGATAGAACCAGACCGGATTACTTTACTATCGCATTCATCGCCAAACTACAACCTGCTCGCTCGACGCAAACTCTTGACGTCACCCACATCTAACTACAACACCCGCCTCCCGCGCTCTCTGATTGGTCGGATGGAATTCTACCGATCGTAATCTCAAACACAGGGACCAGACCCATGCAGTTACATGTTACATGCAGTGAAATGATTATTGATCAGAGAGTACGGGTGGCTAAGGCTAGTGTCATTGCAAAACAGTGTAAAACATGTTGAAATAGTGGTTGAGAGAAACTTTTTCCCAAACCGATCCTACGATTTACGAATGCCTGTAAATACCAGCAATGCTCCAAATGATTTGCGAGCCGAGAACTCATTACTTATAGATAAGTCTATTTAAATTCCCCCGTTCACGGTTTGAAATTCAAGTAATCCAAGTTTAATGTGATATAATAAGCCTGATAAAAAGCACGTTTCACGGAGATTAATTTTTTGATGAAGTACTAGATAAATATAAACCATTTAGCCATTTTTTCTTCCAAAGTTTATGTAGAAAAGCATTTGATTGCATTCCATAATGAATACTTCAAAAGCCAAGCCTTGTTATTATCTTAAGGTTAATTCCATAGCCTATTCACATGAAGCTAACTCTAACCCTAGGCCTTTCTGAGCGGAGTTTGCATGTTCTTCCTGTGTCTGTGTAGGGTGCTCTGGTGTCCCCTACAACTAAAACCACATACGATAGGTAAACTCAAAAAGCAAGGTCACTGGTTTTTGTTTAGAAAAGTAAGTTTAGAGCTGAAGGAGTTTACCTATGTCAAGTGCCGGGGACAAATTTGGCTGTCAAGTTAAACGTAACTTATCTTAAGATGGTAAGAAAGCCACTGTGACTATCTGCATCTGTGTCAGTATCTGTCTTTCTGTCCACGAGTATATTAAAGCTGTGGTACCTAACTTTGAAAAATACTTTGACTCTAAACACGATTTGTTTTCACTTACATGCATTTTTGCCATTACCAGTCCTCACTCAGCCAATCAGCTCTCAGAATGTAAAAGATAACATGTTTTATAATTTACAGGTTCCGATTCTTTCTGTCGGGACCTGTATGAAAGTTAGGTGCTCCAGCTTTAAATGTGAATCTAAAAGTTAACATGCCCCCCTCCCTTGGATTATAGCACCTCAACTCGTCCTATGTTTTTACTATTATGATTATTACTATTAGTATTATTAGTATTACTATTATTATTAGTCTCTCTCTTTTCTTTCTCCCCTCTCTCACTACCGGTCAATAAAAGAAAATGTTCAACACCCTCAGATACCTACTCAATACACAAAAAGTGAACACGCACATACACACACACACACACGCTTGCGCACACTGAATCCCCCCCCCCCCCCTGTCCCCCCTCCTGACCCTATGTAGATGCTTATATATGTTTATGTAGGTTCATGTCTAAATGTATAAATGGGTCTATAATGTCTGCTGTAATATATTGTATACGGCAATAAAAATAAATAAATAAATAAATAAAAAAATAAAAATAAATAGTTAACATGCGATCTCCCTCCTCCGCTTGGACCTCGACCAGCTCACTTCACCAGCGCTGTCTCCACAGAAGCTGACAGATGCATAAACACTGGATGATAGAGCGCTCCTCCAGGTTCAGCCGAGGAGACTCTCATAAATGTGCGAAGTGATTGTTGACGTACAGCTAAATGGAAAATAGACGGATCATTTGAACATAGAGGGTACCGCTTAAAGCTGACTCACCGGCCGCTGCAACAATACATTAAACACGACTGATTTCATCTCGCTATATGTATAGGCCTGTGATTTTTGTGTGTGTTCGACAGCCAAGCAAAAAGAGTAATTTATATTGAATTTGTCCGTGAGCCTCTAGCAAATAACGTGGACCACTGATCAGCATGATTACGATAACGGCTCTAAGAATGACACAAAATGACTAATATTAATACATTTGGCTGTGTAAGCGTTTGCTATACAAGCAGTGGCACATCTAATTACCTTGTGATTGTGGTAATGAGAATTTGCTAGTTCCGATCCAAAACGCAGACATGTGCGAAACATGGACCGGGACTTGAATGCTAAATGCTTTATTTACGACAAGCGCTTTTTGACAGCTTGTCTCGCACCCAGGGGCTTTTGTTTACCTGCTTGCACCGCTGATTGCTTCCCAGCCCGACGGTATAGAGGATTTCTAGTCGCCCGCTGATGTTGTGGAGGTCAGTTTCTCTATGACCCACTTGGGACCCGTTGGCTGCCAATATCTCGCTGCTTTTTACAACATTATACCTTGAATTTTATCCCCGTAAGGTCCCGCCTCTTTTACTGCCAAGGTGACTGTGCAAGCTTATTGAAACCCAGCCAAGCATGGGAAGATTATTCCCCCGATCGCTGACCACAAAAGCATGACCTGGATTATTGAAGTCCACTCGCGCGCAGTACTTTAAGATGTGATGGATTGGCATATTTAGAGATGGAGAAATGGCAGGGGGAACACGCTTAGGGGACCCAACCTGCGACTAAATGAGCTTGCTGTCTCTCTCTCACTGTGTCGCAATGTGTGTCTGTGAGGAGGTCTTTGAGGTGCGGCGAAATGTCTTTACACTCAGCATTGGCGTCGATAAGGAGCAGTTGCTTAGATACAAGATAGACGATGATGGCAGCGCGGTCATTAGTGGTCCACAAGGCTATCCACGGGGTGCTATCGAAGAAGCACAAGGAGTATTAGGTGGAAATATTGGTTTTTCAATTTGCCCTATATCCTGGAGATGTCGGCAATCTTGCTCCCTTGCCGTATCTAAAACACCGACTGTTCGTCTTTTCTTTCGGCTTTTTTTTGGAGGTCCCAGTCCTTGCTCTGTTTCGCATTTTCGTCTTGTGACATTTGGGAGCAAAGCCAAAGATAAACCGACCACGCTCAGTCTATCAATAAACGATCAAGAGCAATTTAGAATGCAATTTGGTGGCTTTCATGTCGATATGAAAGCCACTGCTAAGGAAGGAATGTTGTCTCTTATGGAATCTCGGAAACATATATGGGTTTTTGGTCGATCACAGTTGTATACAGTGGTTGTGGAAAGTGGCTCTAGAAAACCAGGAGGCATAAGTAATTTCCTGGTGTAAAACTTCCAGGCTTATAAATCAGACACGTTTTTTTTTGGCAACGTCATGCCAATTTGCAGCAGTCATTAGATCTGTAGCCAGCCCAAATCAGCTGAGCAGAACTGTTTTGGCAGTCATTTAGGCTTTACAACTTGGACTTGTTTTAGCTCCTTTTTGCACCCTCACGGCAGAATGTGTTGTGGCACTTGTCTGACTTCAATCTTCATCAAAAAGCTACATCAAATTATAGAAACTCAAACTCAATAAATGTTTTCTCCAGTGACCACTTTATTTTTACTGGGTGCAAGGTAAAATTTATCAAGTTTAATCGTATTTACAATCGGCTTGATGGATGTGTTTTGCTGCTACTGGACACCTGAATTTCTCCTACAGGGATTAATAAAGTATTTATCTATCTATCCATCTATCTGTCTGTTATCAATGTGGTGCCATGTAATGTACTTGTTTTAACTGGAATGTGTGTGTGTGTGTGTGTGCAGAGGGAGATGGTGTATGCGCCTCAGGACAGCCCAAACCGCCGCCTCAGTAACCCGCACATGTCTTCCCAGCACTCGTCTGCCTCAGCTTCTCCCCCGCAGGGCTCTCCGTCTCGGGCCAGGCTCCTGTACAGCGGCGGCCGGCCCTCTTCCTACGCCGGCCCCCCGCACCACACCCACTCCCTGCCCCACCCGCACTCCCAGTCCCACCACTCCTCCCCCCATCAGCAGCCTCACCACCCGCAAGCCGCTTTCGTCGCCTCGTCCAGCGCCATTTTGGAGCGCCGGGATGTGAAGCCGGACGACGAAATAGGCGGGTCTCGGAGTATGGTGTTGCTGAGGGGGGATGATCGCGGCGGAGGGGGCATCTACGCTGACCCGTACTCCCTTGGTCCAGACCCGGGACGGTTGAGTCTAGCTGGAGGTCCGCACTCTCCTATCCCGAGCAGAGCAGACCCCTATGGCTCCCTGTACCGGCGTGGAGGCGGGGCCGGCTCTGTCCGAACGCTAACTTCCTACTCAGCTGCTGCTTTACAAGGCGAGCTTATGGAACGGGAGGCGCTGTACCGACCTGGGGGGCCGCTCTATAACGACGCCTACGCTGCCTCAATGCTGGCCATGGGACTGCGAGTGCCCCCTCCATCCTCTCCGCAGAAGATCCCGGACATGAGGGACATGAGAGACCCCTACGGAGGGACCATGCCCGGGCGGGGGTCCCCAGGGAGGCAGAGTTTACGGAGGGACTCGGTGAGCTCGTCTGTGTTCGGAGACAGTCCTAAATCCAGAGGGCAGGCTGGGATGGGCCTCACCGCGGAGCAGCTCTGTCTGATGGCAGGAGGGGACGGAGGAGGCGGGACTTATGGCTCTCCACTGATGGGGAACGAATCAGAAACCAGGTACGAAAGATCATTTGAAATACCCTGTAGAGGTGCAGGGTCTCATAGAAATGGTATCAATGTTCAATCCCAGGGTTTGTCACTTAGTTAGTCAACAGGGCTTTTATTTACTCGGCCAAGAACTTCTACAGCCTTATTGTGAGTGCAGGGTTTCATGAAAATGCTTTTGCCTTGTCAGGAATGTTCCAGAGTATGGTAAACGTGTCTGTGGTTCATTGACTGTATTCAGTTTTCCATTGTCAAAGGTTGCGTTTCCATGGAGTTGCTAAGTCTATGCCATCTTCCATCATTGAAGGCAAAACAATATTCTCTTCATAAAGAATAAAATACTTCGGTCCTTACTGCTTTCGACTCCACTGTGCACCTTTACCAAACTATTTCATATTTATTAAAATTCAACTCTGAGGCCAATGACTTGAAAATGTGTTATTGTCAACATGGTTAAAGCAGTTCACAGCGGAGCAGATGAAGTCCTCATATTGATAAAATGTGAGAAAAAAACAATTTGCCTGTAACACTGCATGTACATCAACAAGATTAATACTCTGAATAAAATATGACTGTGTCCAAAAATACACGCACACGTCAAATGCATACGCGATTCAAACAGTACTCAATGTCTTCTATACATCTAAGCCACAATAAAAATCTGTACATTTGTTAAATTCACTGTTTTTACTGTTATTGAATGTGGCTGTTACATAAACTGCTCATTGCTTTCTGTACTCTATTCCCATTTGAGTCCTCTACAGCACTATTAATTATTAAGGAAAAAGCTGTCAATACTTGCTTACTTTGGGGAAATGACAAACCAACACCATTGGGCAGGGATTAGCCACATTCCCAAATCCTCTTTTTCTTCAAAGTAAAAAGCCTGTGGTGCTTGTGTGTTTGCAGGGAGCGTATGGAGGCCATGGAGAAGCAGATAGCGAGTCTGACCGGGCTGCTGCAGCGAGTCCTGAGCCGAGCCCCAGAAGCAGAGAGCCCGTGAGCCGACAGCACTTATACAAACATGCATCCATCATTACCCATCATGCACGCGGGCGCGCCCCGAATCAATTCAACATCAAGTGCTGCCTAATAGCTGACCTTATACCAACATCGAACTGCAGCAGGGAAAGAATTGGCCGACAATGACCGAATGCTTTAGTGGGTTAGAAATGTAGAAATATTAAAGCTGAGCAGCGTTCAAACCACTGCAATATTTAAGCCTCAGATGGTTCTTTTAATAAGCCATTACTGCTTAATTAGATAAGATAAGATAAGAGATCCTTTATACGTCCCACAAAATTCAATATAATTAGAAGACAAAATGAACTTTTTAACATTTAACACTGCAAGATATGTATATAACTAGTCTCATGACTGGAAAACATCAGCTTTTTCAGGCAAAATAGAAGACTTGCCTCCTTCAGCCAATCAGCTCTCAGCTAAAAGTGTCAAATAGAGTGACTCACAAGGCTCTTTCTTTCAAAATAACATGTTTTCTAATGAGATGAAGACAGCATTTTGTAGTCTAATATGCTCACAATTTTTCACTTTTACAAGCCTAAACTAACCTAACCCTAACCCTAACTCAGTGTATCCCAACCTTTTTGTAGCCGTGGCACACCTTTTTGGTTGAAGACACTCACATGGCACACCACCGGCTGAAACTGATACAAACATGGAACTTTGTAGCTTTTAGTATGAAAGCAAAGTCATTTAAATCAAGGTAGATATTAATAGAAAATGAAACGAGCCCAAAAAGTCTTTCTAATCTTCTCACATGATTTTCTTTTCACATTATTTTGACCAATTATGTGATATTGGAATATTTCCCAAGGCACACCAAACAACATCTCAAGGCACACTAATGTACCACGGCACACTGGTTGAAAAACACTGCCCTAACTTATTCATGTTCAAAATGTGTAAGAAGAAGCCAAAGCCTATTACATCCCACCCCTTCTACCTATGTTAATTCAATATATTGTACTAAATTGTAATAAGTTGTATGTAGTGGTGACCAAGCTAGGACTTGCATAGTAACATATACGAGACACTATTTCCCAGTCAGAAAAGCTAGATAAATTTTTTTTTGTATACAGAATTGTCATTGGCGAATCTCTGGCATGTTCTCTCCTCCACGTACGCCCTAGCCCACCTGTCAGCGCTGCTATAAAACCTCCTGATTCATTTCTAATTCAGATCTGACTCCCATCATCATCCATCATGAGCGGAGCGTCCAACACGGCGCTCATTGTACATTCAGCTGCCGACACATATATTTTCCACCTCCTCGCCGTATATCAAAGCTCCAGACGCTATGGCGGTCGTAATGCTCCATATAAGTGCATTAACATTGGCCTCTTGCAGGGAGAAGATGGAGACCGCGAGCGACTGTTCGGGAAATGACAGTAAGCACCCCCGCCAAAATAAAAGTCTCTCTCTTTCTACCGCTGCCCGTCGAATCCACGGCTGCACAATTTTCGACATTCTCTTTTGTGTCGTATGCTTTTCTTTGCAATATTCAAGCTTCTTCATATTATTTTCTGTGGATTTTCCCGCTGCTTTAACTGGTGCTCATGCTTTTTGTTTTAGCTGGACGAACTAAAAAAAAGAAAGGTAGCTATGCGTTCACCAAATATGACCCTGTTTCCATGTCAGTAGTTTGCCCCCCTGTGTCTCATTGGACTAACCTCCCTGTAGTCGTCCATCGATATCCCTGTGTTTTATGTGTTGACGATGAGTTGCATTCAATCTTGGTATATTCTCGATGCAGTGTATTCATCTCCTAATTGTAGCTGATATCAAATGGTGACGATTTTGCGACATCCAAGTGAGTAATATTAACATTTAAAACGTGATACAGCTGAACTTCCTTAGTAGAGAGCCTCGGTAGCTTCTTCAGGGCTTAGTTTGGTGACTGTGGCGCCCCCTAGATGTAGGTCTTTATCGGTGAGCGACTAAGAGATCCTTCAAACAGCTCCAGGTGTGAGAGAGCTGGAAGTCCTCTGTGTCTGTTCAGGACCCTCTCATAGATCGTTTACATGTATTTAAGTATCTAAAACTATACTTCTGCCACCTCTGTCCTTTTTGCATCGTTTTATGTATTTGTTCATATAGTACTAAAACCATACATATATACAAACAACAGAACACCCAATTATATATTTATTTCAAACTGTTAAAAAGTCAAAGAAGTGGAAAGTTGAAAATGAATGTTATTTTATCCACAAATGGGTCTGATCTTGCAGTATCAGTCTCAACTTCAGCCTAAACCCCCTTTGGTCAGGCATTATTTAGCGCTAAAATGCTTAGTATACACATTTTAGTTCTTTTTTCTTTATTGTAAAATGTATTTGATCTTTGGAAACATGTGACCAAAGTTCTAATGCACATAATGACTAGAACAAATAAATTACTTCTACAACTATGTAATCTAATGCTAAATTTGGGCGTTCTGCTCTCCCAAAATTTCATCCACTGAGCGGCGCTGTGATCAAAAAATGACACCGTTTGTTGCCCAGTTCACTTCCGGTTGATTTCATACAATGGCGAATATGGCTCACGAAAACAACAAACAATTGACAGTGCCTGAATTGCGTGAAAGGTTGAAGCGAAAGGGTATTTGCAGTGTGGGAAAACGAAAGGAGGAATTGTTGTTGCTAGTTCAACGAGCGGATGGTGTTTATGAAGATTTAGAAGAAGATGACAGCGAGCAGAGTGAACGAAAACGGCTGTGTGTGCGAGTGACAGATGGTAACAATGAGAATGAAGTTCAGCTAAGAGGGAAGAATGTGAATTGGACGGATGATTTGCGCGATATGCCACTAGTTAGAGACGGGAATGTATTTGCATACAGAAAATGACGAAAACACTCAACCATTTAGAGAAAATGCGCCGGGCAGAGAGAACCGGAAGTTGCGAAGGCAAGTGTTACCCATAATGCAACGCAAAATTCAGTCGCTCCCCCGCCCATCGGATGGAATTTTGGGAGAGCAGAACGCCCGAATTAAAGATGGGTCCTGATATAAAGATGGGTCCTGATATTTGGAATTAGCTTCAGTTCACATTGGGCTGCCACCGTTTGAGCAGAGTTCTACACGTCACACTTTGAACCTGCTGCTTATCTGTGGACTTGAAAACACTTTTGCTAGATTCACTTTGTGCCCCTCTTCCGTTCGTTAATTCTTCTGAAGTCGAACAGGTGGGAGCAGATGGCAGCAACCAATCATTTCACAGCCTCAAAAAACCGTATTGTGTGGGAGCTGTCTCTAATGGCGTCTTAGTTTTGACCTTTTCACCGGAGGTTCAGGTGCGAGCGGAAACCCCAGGTGCTGCCAGACTTTATACATCTTGCTTTGAAGCTTTGAAAAATAAAACACAAATAAAATAACTGCCTTGAAATGCAACTCTGGGGGTAAAAGAATAACCCAATCCCATCTGTTCTGGAGCGACTGGTGATTCTCCTTTTGTCTTGTTTGTGCATGACGCGTGTGACTATACGTCCTGAAGCTGTCACAACATAGATTTCATCCTCATTTCAAAGGATTATCTGATTCTTTTGCCTCATTTTTCTACATGTCTGGGGAGTTTGTTTTCTCCCAATAGTTTGTCTGCACGGATTCAGTGAGAATGTTTGTATGTGCTGCCCTCTGTTTGCCCTGTGCCATGCTGTTTTCAAATCGAGATAATCCAGCTTTGACCGAAACCACAATTCCTCTTGTGAAAAATACTGAAAAAATACTAAAGTGCACAACATTACAACTGTATGTTTACTACTGCTATTTCCAAAGGCTCTGGAATGGTGTGAAACTGCATTTATTTTGAATCCAGATATATATTGACTACCTTTTCTACACAGATCATTTGTCAAAGAGCCTATAGTTTAATAGTGGTAACTATGGTAACGATCTGACTTCTTGTCTTGGTTTAAAGCTCATTTCTCTGTAATTCCTGGGCCAATCTGCCAGAAACTAAAAAACCTGTCCACATCTTCTTTGCCAGTATATATCCACTGAGGTCTCATTATTAAATATAAATGGTGAGAATGTTCAAAAAGCACAATGTTGGGAGACAGAAAAGACTTTAAGACTTAAGAATAAAATGGCAGATATGTGATTCTATCCACTACTAGCAATTTCCTAGTCTGTGACTTCTGTTACTTACGTGGCAATAAAAATGATTCTGATTGATTCTGATCAAATCATGATCATGGGAAAGCTGTAGAATCATATTGGTATCTGCCCTCAAACTGAAAAGTGAAGCATATTTTCTGTTTTTATCAGTGTTAATGCGGACCACAGTAAGTCAGTAGTTCCGATGATTTCCCTTAAGCTTTTGGATTGTCCGCTTTTAAGACTCTTTAGCAAAACACCCATCATTAAGCCCAGCACAGATCCCAAATACACATATGCCATAGTAGAAGTAGCACCAGTGATACTTATACTTTTTAGAACCCAGCCACAGTAGCACTTCTCTTATGCATTTGACATTTTTATTTGCTGGTGCAACCTGTCAGAAGCTGTAAATTGTTTGGTTATAGGTTTGAGAAGGAACATTTGGCTGAAAACATTTGGCTCCCCGTGCTGTAGTAACACTCTATCAGAAGAACACTGCAAAAATGATATAGTATGAGGTAATCATTTCTTGAATTGAAGTTTTTTGCCTTAATTTGAGCACATTTTGATTGCCTTAAAACAAGATTTACCAATGGGACAAAGCCATTTAGTCTTATTTCAAGAACTGTTATTTTATTTTGCTTGTCCCAAAAAATCTTCTTAAGGCAATCAAACTGTGCTCAAATGAAGATACATTTAGCAAAATTTGGGCAATTTCTGACTTGTTTTTGCATCACTTTTCTCATTCCAAGGGAGACATTTCTTGTATCTTTTAAAAACAAGATGTTGCTTTGTCCCATTGGCAAATCTTGTTTTAAGGCATTCAAAATGTGCCTTAAAATCAAAATCAAGTTACATTTTGCCAAATTTGAACAATTTTAGACTTACTGCAGTAGGGCTCTTACACTTTTTACTTTTTGTTTTGATCTACATGTTAACTTTGACCTTAACTTTTGTCCAGGACTCTTTTGATCTCAAAGGGACTTTCCTGGTTAAATAACGGTTAAATATAGGGGCTGGTGCTCTGACTGCCACCCCCCCCCGACCCAGAAACGGATTAAGGGGAAGAAAATGGATGAATGGATAACGGTTAAATAAGATTTTAAAAAACATGTCACCGTGCACGTTTTACTAACAGCTCCTGCTTTTTTACTTCCGACTTCTTGAATCACTGACGATTGGTGGTTGTGTGCAGCTATGACCCCCTCGGCCCCCCTGGCCCTCATGCCCCCCCCCTCCAGTCAATCGGTGTCGGTGTCGCGGTCCCAGATGCAGCAGCACCTTCAGGGCCTCCAGCAGAACACCAACGCTCTCCGCAAACAGCTCTCCCAGCTCCGCAACATCCAGGTGAGGGCCACAGTGAGGTTCCACTCTGGGAATCTCACCAGAGCTGGCGGCGGAACGACCACTCCCAAATACACACGTGGCTAAACAATACAGTACTTTTTTATACCTGTTTTTGTATTCAGCTAAAAAAATAAAAATAAAAAAAGGAAGTTGTTGAGAATTGAGTGAACAAATCAATAACATTAAAAAACTGTTCTGTTGAGGGCAAGGAACTACTTTTATTAAATAGACCATCTTTTCGTAGGTTGCAAGTTACAGTAGGTAAGAACAGTTTAAGTATAGTTATAATCTCTATATCATGTTTAAAATAACCGTATCTGCTGTGAACGGCAGTGATTCAGTTGCATTATTATTCTTATTCATGTCATTTTTGTAGAAAAGTGAGAAAAGTACCCGCTTTTACTTTTCATATGAATTTTAACCTTTTACAAAATGTAATTGTTTTCACCAAACTGTAGCTAGGGTGAGTACATTTTTAGCCACATTTATTCAATGTTAATAATGTTTGATGCAATTTTAGAAGCACTGTATGTATTTATTTATTGCCAAAGTGTTCACAGACTGGTTTTAAGGCTCTCTCTGGCATTAATACAGTTATGGTAACTAGATTCTAATTTTTTCTAAAATTTTTCTAACTTTCCATCACTACCCATGATGTTTTATGCCAGGCTGTTTGGGACTTGTCTGTATAAAAATACTAATGTCATGTATTAGCTGGGTTCACTTCTGTCTTCACATACATGGATATCTGTTTCTTTGTCTTGTCCCAGTTGGAAAACCAAGATGCAGTCCTGTCGCTGCTGCGGCAGACTGAGACCGAGCTGAGCCTCATGATGCTGGACGCCTCCAGAACCCAAGAAGACCCGCTCCAAAGACAGCGCCTCCTGGTGGAAGAGGAGAGACTCAAGTACCTCAACCAAGAGGAGCTTCTGATTCAGCAGCTGCAGTAAGTCAGCGCCAGAGACACCGATCTGACATTATATCACAACTTGTTCTAAAAGGTTTTAATGGATGGAAAGGTGGTAATTTAACCATTTTAGCATTTCTCCTTTAAAGGCTTCAATATATTTACAAACAATGCCAAGTTAATTAAAATGACAAACTTAAAGCGAACGACAGTCACTTTTCAATTTATGACGGGAGAGTGAAACTTTTTGATGACCTCCTGATTGGTCGAAAATAATTAAAATCCCTCAACATTGGTTTAACTGTTCTCCGACAGCAAATCCATCTGATCATCATCTCATCATTATTATGTACATTTTTGAAATATGGAAGACTTTTGTGCTTAAAAAATAATTCTTTCAGTGAATAAACTCGCCTCCCCCACAGTTACTTTGCCAAATGAAGTCAAGGCTTTTTCCAATCTAAAAAACATCCAGGCTAAAACATCCAGGCTAAACAACATCTAGGACATTAAGCGCCACCAGAACAGTTGATAATGAATCTTGTGTCATTGTATTCACTCACACATGGTAATACTAGTGACTGGTCCACAGTGATTTGGAGAAGTCGGTGGAGGAGCTGCAGAGGAACTCGTCAGTGAACCACGGTTTGGTGACAGAACAAGACGTGGAGCAGAAGAGCAAAGAGCTGAGGGCGCTGGGAGACACGCTCGCCGAGTTAAAAAGTGAGTCCAAACAAGGCGCTGCTCTCACACGTAATGAGACTCCATAAATCCTGCACCGCTGCCTTTAATATTCATCCACTCGGCCGCCTCTGTGTGGACTTTTTACCAATTGACAAGAAAAGGAAAAGCCGGAATCACCATTTTAAAGCCGACCTGCTGCAATTAGGAACGGTGTCGCAGCTTTCTAGTATTTTAAAGTGGAGTCATGGCACGTTCTGTCACGTGGGTGAAATTAAATGAGACCCAAAATGCAAAACTGCAAAAAGTAATGGATTTAATAAAAAGATGAAACAAATCCAAAAACACCGGGAACGAGGACCAAACTAAAACAGACAAGGAATGACAATGACGGAACAGGGAGTGAAGGAACACACAGGGCTAAATACAAGACTAACGAGACACAGGTGAGACAGATGAGGGCAGGGCAGGTAATCAGACAACAGGAAGTACAACCAAAGAAGACACAGGAATAACACATTTCAAAATAAAACAGGAAATAAACTTAAACCATGACAGTACCCTCTCCTCAAGGGACGGATCCCAGACGTCCCAAAAACAAAACCAGGGAGGGAGGAGGGGGACCGTAGGAAGGACCGGGGGGGAGTAACCGGCACGTGAAGCCGGGGCCGGGACGTGAAGCCGGGGCCGGGACGTGAAGCCGGGGCCGGGACGTGAAGCCGGGGCCGGGACGTGAAGCCGGGGCCGGGACGTGAAGCCGGGGCCGGGACGTGAAGCCGGGGCCGGGACGTGAAGCCGGGGCCGGGACGTGAAGCCGGGGCCGGGACGTGAAGCCGGGGCCGGGACGTGAAGCCGGGGCCGGGACGTGAAACCGGGGCCGGGACGTGAAACCGGGGCCGGGACGTGGAGCCGAAGAGCTGGAGCAGGAACTTGAGCCGGGACTGGAGCAAAACGGGTACGGAAGGCCCCCTGGATGGAGAACAATATCCAGCGGAGCCAAGTCAGGGACGAAAGCCTGCAACCACCCAGGACGGAGCAAAGTGTCCTGCAGTGGTCCAGGACACAGACAGACAGGAATGCGTCCAGCTCCTGCAGCAACTCATGAGACCAGTCGGGGACAAAGGCCAGAGATGACAGAAAATAAAACAAAAATAAGGCAGTCTGCTTGGGCCTTGTGTGGTTCCGTCATTCTGTCACGTGGGTGAAATTAAATGAGACCCAAAATGCAAAACTGCAAAAAGTAATGGATTTAATAAAAAGATGAAACAAATCCAAAAACACCGGGAACGAGGACCAAACTAAAACAGACAAGGAATGACAATGACGGAACAGGGAGTGAAGGAACACACAGGGCTAAATACAAGACTAACGAGACACAGGTGAGACAGATGAGGGCAGGGCAGGTAATCAGACAACAGGAAGTACAACCAAAGAAGACACAGGAATAACACATTTCAAAATAAAACAGGAAATAAACTTAAACCATGACACGTTCACTTGGTCCTCTCCATTACTGTTGAGTTTTCAGGTTTTTCGTATGCTTTTCTTTGATTTGGTATAATGTATTCTCTTTACTGTCACTCAGGCCTGTCACAACAATTACTAAAACAAAATAAAAATACATACATCGGCCGCATCCCTCTATAGACTCCGGGGTTCAACAATAACAATAATAGAAAAAGTAGCGGCTTATTCTATTTTAAGAGTACATATGAGGATTTTCTCAAATTATAGGAAAGAACCGCCATCTCCACTTTTTGAACAAAGCTCTCTGGTCTTATTTGATGAGCATGTATCACCAGAATGATTGACATTTGGAAGAACCAATAGTCTTGATGATCCACCCAGAAGTCACAAATTGCTTTACAATTTTTGTTATTTGGGCATTTTCAGACATATTGAACATGTTCTTAGTGGTAGGGGAAACCAAGGAACCCAGAGGAAACCCACACAGACACAGGGAGAACATGCAAGCTCCACACAGAAAGGTCTGGAAGGTGGAATCGAACCCAGGACCTTCTTGCCGTGAAGCACAAGCGTTAACTACTGTGTTAAAATGGCTATCTCTACAGAGCTGTCATTCACACGCCCCTCTGCTGTCCCTCCAGGCCAGTTCCCCAGTCTGCAGAGTAAGATGCGGGTGGTGCTGAGGGTGGAGGTGGAGGCCGTGAAGTTTCTGAAAGAGGAACCGTTTCGTCTGGACGCTCTGCTCAAACGCTGCCACAACATGACGGACACTCTGAGCTCTCTGCGGAGGTACACAGCCCGACTCTGACCTGTGTGCATGCGTCTGATCAGATCTTTGACTCTTTAATGTTCACTCCTTAAAGAAAGATTTTTGAAGGGGCCCTGGTTTTTTTTACTGTAGGCCATTACCAAATAGTTGAAATGCAGTTTGACGGTAAAAGTGACTAAAAGCAAGTGAGATTTAAGTTCCAAGCCTCTTGATCGTGACTAAAGAGATGATCCACCAAATGCTTGAGGAAACTTTTAAAGGGTTAATGATGAGACTTTGCTGAGAGAGAAAATACTTCACTTTAACATTTGTCCATTACAGAAAACCAGGACTAATAACTTAAAGTGTGAAAGAGATTTTGTTCCTCAATACTGTCAGAATACTTTTGGTTTCACTTTAGCAAGACTGTGTTTTAGTTCAACCTCAAGTTCAATGATTGGTTTGCAATCCAGTTTTGAAAAAGATCAAGCATTGTGTAAATTATCAGTCTAATATAATTAAAATATATTTCAATTTGACACATTGTAATACACTGTTCTCTACCTTTTAATTGGGAAAACGCTATTGATGAATTTCTGTATGATCAAAGATACATTATGTAAAATTTTTGGGTGAGAAAATAATATCTTTCACCGTATTCATTCATTCATTCACACAGCATTCACCGTATCTGTCACCATGAGATACAGTATGAGAGAGACACGGCTGAAAAGTCAGATATATAGTGACCTGTACATATTCAATCAAGTTAAATGAGAAATATAAATACTTCTATTAGGCCTGACTCATTAGAAATTCTATTTGTATTTAAATTATTACACTGCACTAATGCAACTAACTAAGTATATAGCAGTCTTTGTTAACACATGGCAACATACTGGAATTTAAAAGTATGTATGTATGTTTTAATCATGTTACCATCAGATCAGCGTGATGACAAACCCTGCAGAGCTTTTTCAAAACTGGATGCGATGTGAAGTACCCCTGGAGAACAACGTTTCTAACTGCAGTTCTGTGTGTATGTATTGTAGTGTTTTTCTGTCCCTCTCTATGCACAGACAAGTCTCCGAGGGCGTGTGGAAGGGGCCCGAAGACCTCCCCAGTCAGCAGCAGCAGCGGAGATCCGAGGACCTGGACATGTTGAGCAGCAGCCCGCCTCTCAGCCTCAGCGACCTCAGCTCCAGCTCCGGTCTCGCCAACTGGATGCCCCTGTCCTCCTCCAACGACTCGGACGCCTCTTCGTGCCCCGAGCAGGACGTCCCGCCGGCCATGACCTTCCGGAACAGGGTGCTGGACGATCTACCAACGCGACGACCCTCGGACAAGGCTGTGTCGGCGGAAGTCAGACTGGTACCTGCCACTTCTATTTCAACTTTTTGCATGAAGTTTGGAAGGGCGTCTCGGTATCTAATTTACGATCGTGTGGTAATGGAAACCTGATGGGAATCTAACGGAGCGTGAAGATAAGAGAAGGGAAAGATAAGGACGGATATAAGGTGGATCTTGATCTTATATACTTTGCAGAAAATTAAAAACGTCAAATATAACTTTTTACTGATAAAAAAAGATTGATTATTTAAATAACTTCTACATGACGACAGCCATGACTGCATTTATCACTTTACCTGGACCAGGCAAAAATAACCAATATCAACTTATCAATACATTAACCACAACTTTTTTGTTTTTAGAAATATAGAAGTCACTATTTGCCTCTTTGGGCTGAGAACTGATTGGCTGAGTGAAGGCGGTCGTGTCTTTTTCTCTTTTCTGTCTGAAAAATCTGAAAAGAGAGCAAAATATCTGCATGTGAAAACTAGTGATAGATCCAATCATTGAACTTATTTATTTATTTACATTTTTAATCAAAAAGTGAACATACATACAAACATAATAGACAAAACACTACTACTGCTAATACTACCATATACAGCTGAGGCACTTACTATATGTATATAAAAGTGGGTTGATCCATTGAGTTCACTAACCCCCCACCTCTAATGTACATGAGTGTGACCATGTGAAAATGCACGTTGATGAGAGAGTTAAAGTAATATGTAAAATGTGCTTATATTGAATCTATTGAACTTTTAATATTTTTATGTTCACACCACTAAACGATTTTGTCCATTGCTGGTCTGTTCTGCGGCCCCCTCCCTGCTCATCATGGTCCGTGTGCATATGTATGTCAGGCAGCAGAGCGAGACTGGGAGGAGAAACGTGCCAGCTTGACCCAGTTCAGTGCACAAGACATCAATCGCTTATTGGAGGAGACCCAGGCCGAACTCATGAAAGCAATCCCGGATCTGGACTTCGCTGCCAAGCATATCAACAAGCCCGCCGTGCCCCCCAAGCCCCAAATCACCATCCCCATCACCCCGGCCACCGCCACCTCCTCCTCTGCAGCTGGGGCGTCCGCTTCCCAGGCCCCCTCCTCCTCCTCCGCTGCCTCCGGAGCAGAGCCGCAGCAGCAGCCCGGCAAAGTGCAGCTCGCGGCGCAGAAGCTCAACAGTATGGGGGACGGCTCGGGCTCACCCAGAGGCTCAGGTAAGGCCCATTTTAACTCTGTCATCTCTCATTATTCTAGCATTACACTAGATTAAACATTGTAAAATCACTGGACGTAAAGCTGGTTCACCTAACTTTCTTCCCATGAATAACATATTTCAGATTCAGGTTCATTTAATTTGCCATTTGCAGTGAAACCACATTGGAATACATTTGCTAAAGTCTCCATTATGCACCATATACAAGTACATACATACATAAACCAAGGTAAAGTAACCCTGAGACTTGTAACGTTAAAAAATCTTTGCGTACTTGGTAGAAAAAACTCTGAATCTGACGCTTTTGGACAAGAGTGAAAGTGGTCCTCCATTGTTCACTTTTCCGTCTGAAAAAGCTGATCTTAAGATTTGACAGAGCCAAGAGCTATTTACATGGATTTTATTACTTAGCCCAATATTTGCTGTGCGGAAGTGAGGTTCAAAATGAGTGTTTGGTTGTTTGTGTTTGGTCAGTGGTGGACCTGAACGTGGCTCGGTACCGGGCAGAGAAGCCGTCGAAGTCCCCCCCTCCTCCTCCCCCTCGCCGGAGTTTCCCCTCGGCCCACGGCCTCACCACCAACCGCACCGGAGACGTCATCGTCACCTCCAAAAACCTCAAGGTTCGCACACAACCAAACGGGTCTGGGCATTTCTTTGACTAAATTGCGACTGTGGCAAATTATGCTTGGACTAGTTTTGGTTCTAACATCTGCAAAAACCCTACTCCCACTATGTATTTATTCCATTTAACATTGTTTTCTGAAGATTTTTTACAATAACACACACTTTTAACAGTAGTATGCCTTCGAATAGAACATAAGAAAAAACAAGCTGCTTGGAAAACCAATTATACTAAAATATTATTCTGTGAAATGTGTAAAGTGACTTTGCAGAGTCATATTCCCGGTTTGTTTACTCACCGTTGCCTTGAAAGCTTTTGCCGCGGCTGACCCGTTCTCTGACACCTGTAGGCAAACACACTCCCTTGAAGTCAAAGAAAAGCTGGAGCAGTTTGTTATTTGCAAATAATTTCCCCCTAAAGCCATAAGTTCAAACCTTTGCCACTCTAAAAACATTCAGACTTTTTTCAGTTCGACTGTGAACGAGCTTTCCCAAGTTTCCACCTTAACAATTGAAGGTTTTCTTTAAGGCGGAGGAGGACGGAGAGGCGCCCAAGACACTAGTGAAACTCAGACGCACCCCTTCAGACGCCCCCAGACCGGCTTCGACCCCCCCTGTTATCGCAGCCTCCGCCATCCACGACGAAGACGACGAGGAGAAGATTATAGCCGAGTTAGAGGTGGGTCTATTCCACAAACCCAAACATCACTGTAATTCATGCCACATTTTTCACCAGTGTTAATGCTACCGTATATATGCACTCCCCGACCAAAGATATTTCAGAGATCGCCTTGTAAAATCACCCACCCCAAGGCCACCCCCACCCCAGCATGCACCCTGGGCTCCCTGGGCAGACAGGTAAACGTGTGCGGCAGTAGAGTGACCTTATAGTCTTGTTATGCACAGTGATGACGAAAACTTTTCTACGTCTCTGAACTTTTAACTCTGCTTTTTCACTTTAACAACAGCTACGGCTAATACTTGGGCAGAATGGAGCCGAGAGCTTTTTCATTTCAGCTTGTCAAAACTGTGATATTTTTAGGCAAGGATTTGCATAGCACAGTTCATGCACATGGAATGAAAGAAAATGACTTACCAAAAAATAGCGTATTTAATCAATAATAAAGAAAAAAAATACATTTTCAAATATTTTAGTTGTGTGCCTGGATTTTAATCATAATTTGAAATCCATAAAATCCATAAATCCATCCAAAGAATAGAAATTGTATCCATCTAGCACAAATAGAAGGAAATAACAAGATCCCAATTTCTTTTTACCAGAACCGCCATAATATGCATGGAACCGACTCGAGAGACCCAAACTTAACAATATGCAGTTAAATAAATGTATTTCAATTGTGTTTATTTTAGCCATGAATTGTGCTAATGTCAAAAAGATTATGAAATGTAATGTAGAAAAATCGTGGAAGTCATCTCACGGCCCTCAGAATGACCCGCGACCCCCACTTTGGGAACCACTGCACCAAAGTCCATCCAATGGCATTATATGAATCAATACAGGCACAGAAACCAACCATTAAACCCATAGATAGAACAAAACTCTTACGTAGAGGCAAAGCTAATTAAAAAAGTCTGTATGAAAGGTCTCTCTCTATCGTATTAACACATGATAAAATCCTAACTGCATGTGTGTGTGTGTGTGTGTGTGTGTGTGTGTGTGTGCGTGCTTCTGCGGCTGCTCCAAACTTGCTGTAATCTTGTGAACATTGCGCTCTTCCTGTTTCTCGTGTGTGGGATCTGAGACTCTGCATAAGCTCGGCAAATATGTGTTCTTGTCTGCTCACTTCCACCGCGCTGTGGGAGAGAGATCGTCTGAGCGAGAGAACAAGTGTCTGTGAGAGAGATTTGTGTTGACGTGTTTGGCAAATCTCACTCTTTGGTTGGATGTTTTAAAAGCTGGGGTACCTGATTTTTCAAACCGTGGTGGGGGGGATGTAGTAGTAGTAGTTTCTGTTGAATAAATTGCATCCACTCACAAATGTAAATAATCCTTTAAAATATTATTGTAACTTTAGAATGAGAGGGTTAGCTGCCTCTTGATTGGACGTCAAAGAAATACATTACTGAGAGGTACTTTGGCAAGACAGAAGTGGCAGTTTAAGAAAGACGAATGTCAGAAAGTCAACATAAGTGTGCCCCATGCATCAAAATAAATAATCCATAAAACATGACTGTACCGTATGTATGTAAACTAAAACTATAGAAATGAATTCAAGTTTTGACCGACATGATTTGTTGATAAAAAGGTGACGTTTTAGTTCAACTTTGACAAAATTATGAATGAAATTAGTCACTTACAAAATCAGAAAAGTCACCACTATGCATGAAATAATTCTACAGCTGCTTGAGCCACTGGCAAACCAGACAACATCAAACAAAAAGTCTAAATCAAGCAAATGTTGACCCATACTTGTAATTGTATGTATAATGTTTGCAGTGTAGACTTTTTGACAGCACAGATTGGGGTGTGGTTAGATGACAACAAAACAGTAGCACAGATGTAATGAGTTTACAGCAGTTGTACATTTGAGAATCATAAAATGAAATATTCAGCATATGTCTAAATTGTAAAAATCAATTTGGGAGATTCTTGGAGCTACAGGAAGCTCCAAGTGTCAGGAGGAGGAATTAAGGAGGAACCCAAAATCAATACTTATAATGTAATCAAAATACAGCACTCACAACAAGCCAGGATCAAACGTGGTATAGACAATGGACGGACGACAAGTGGGGAAAGGCCCAGAGAATAGATACACACAGAGAGACACAGGTGAAACACATCAGGGCGGACAGGAAGCACGGTCAAACTACAAATAAAAGTCAAACAAAAGCATGTCAAAATAATCCAAAAGTCCACACCATAACACCGAGCTACATGTTGGAGACCCCTGCTATAGTTTGGCCGCAGTAACCTTTTCAAACCAAACACGCTCAAACATCAACTTCTGAATCAACCTTAAAATCAACCTTTTGCATCATTCCAGAACAGCACCTACTCCCCCGGCCCGAACAAAGGTCCAACAGTAGCGGCCCGACTCAAGCACCTTCAACAGGGCAGCAGCCTGGAGCGCCCCAGAACCCGCGGCAAGCAGAAAGACGATCTCCCCAAAGTCCCCGGGCAGCAGCAGGTATTCCACTTCTAAAAAAAACCCACCACCTCCTCTACAGACTGCCTCGAAACATAACGGAGCAAAGACTTTTGGGGGGGGGAAATGACAAAAAATGAGGTGTGTGTGTGTTATGCCATTGAGAAACTAGCTTGCTTGTCGTACAAATCTGTTGTATTTGATTTCAGGAGGATGTCGCCATGGTGACATAATTACACTAGTTTTATAATAATAATAATAATAAAAACACTGTATCCGGACACTTCCTGTATGCTACGTACAGTATACTCCTCAGTAATGCCACGGACCATGATATTTTGTTTTTCCTCTCACTGACTTCACTCCATTCATTCACTAATTATCACATTTTGTCCATTTTTTTCTATTACCCAGTGGTTAAAGCCCCAACAAAGAGGACAGCGCTACTATGTTTCTCACCTGGAGCCAAATTATTATTCAGAGAGGTTTTTTATCGAATGCTCGCAGAACAGAAACCCTGTCCATTTTACTCGCTAATGTCAAAATGGCCCTTCTTCTCTTAACTCAAAGTCTATCGCACGGTTTTACCCAGAAGGCTATTTGTGTTATTGGACGAGCCACACGTTTTAACTGGAAGGGAGAGTGTTTTACTAGGTCGAGGTTTTTCCCCCTTTTTTTCCCCTCGGCTTGGTGAACTCTGGAGTATGCCTTCAAGGTTCAAAGCTGCATTTGTCTTATCAGTGCCTGCAGACGGCCTAAGCCCCTGTCTCTCACCAACCCCCCCCCTCTCCGTCTTCGTCCCGGTGTAGAGAAAGACACAGATACCTCAGAGGGTCCCAGGGCTATAGGAGTGACATGTACCGTTTAGTTTGAGTAGGTATTTTTTGAAAGAGAGGGCTCAGTATTTGACACAAGCGCAGTGATAAAGAGCTCCCCTCTGCTTTGTGTTTGCGTTTTGATGATGTCAAGATTTCAGATTTAGGGCAGGCTATGAGAGATTTGCTGTTTTGTGGGTGAATTATCAAAAGGCGTGAGCCGGAAATGGTTTGTTTTAGTTGCAGCCATATCGATGCTAGGTGCAAAAGTCAGCTGCCTGTAACTATCACATCATTGCTGTTAGTACAAAAGTCGGTCTAAAGGTTATGCCTATTTCTCCATTGAATTGTCAGCTGTCTCCTCTTGATTCAAAGCGGTAGGTATTTGAGAATACGGAGACGCGACGTGTCATGTCTCAGTTAGAAGGCCACCTGTTCCTCACGATGAATTGGCTGCAGATTGACTCATGGTTTTCATGTCACAGACGCCTGCATGAACCTCACTCACAAAAACATCATGTACATGAGCCATCCAGTCAAAACTACAACTATGGACGTGAACATAACCGCAGCATAAATACTTTTCTCAGTCAAATCTCAGCAGTCGGAGCAGAAAGTGTGTCACAGATGTGCACCATTATATTGAGACACAGAATCCATTCAAAGCATTGCCAACCATACATGTACGCTGTTAGAGGGATGCAGGATTTTGGAGATACTTGTTTATTATATGTTCAAAAAGATGTGTTTTGTTTAGAATGCAAATATCAAACAACATTAGAAAACACAAACTCAGAGTAGATCCCCAGGCTTTTGAGAAACCCGCTTGTAGAGGACTAAACTATGGTCCAAAATAAAGAATTAGTGTGTATTAACTATGAACTATCTTTTTATAATCCAATCTATTTCATTTATACAGTACATTTTATGAGCAATTTCACAATATTCTCAAATCAAGACATTTTTCCCCGATTCTCTCTGTTTCAGCCTATTTTTTTCAGTATTGCTAATTTCAAACACTAAAATTGCCATTTCGATTTGAGATTCGATCTGAGATGAATCTTACAGCCCTAAATAAATAAATAAAACTACTTCGCACTCACAGGCCGACCCATTATGACCTCCTTCCTTCTTCAATGATGCAGCGTTAGGCCGGTTTAACGCCCCCTGTTGTGTGGAGGAGCTCTCTCTCTGCACTGGCTGCTTCTGCACCGTCACATATCTGCAATCGGTGACATTCCCGGGAAGGACAGCGCCTCTGACAGGACATCCCATTAGCGGAAACAGCAATTAGCACACGGCTAACATGGCTGACCCCCACTTGACACAGCACAACCATCTGGGCACTCGTGGCTCTCTCGCTCTCTCTCTCGCTCTCTCTCTCTCTCTCTCTCTCTCTAAAAATGATTCACATTAGTATTCGAGGGACCAGTCACCTGAACGGGACGCAGCCCTGGATCAGGTCGTGTGCAATTATCCTCCCACCGTAAGATTGTTATGAATCTAAAGTGACTATGATATTATTTTGTGAGAGCTCTAGTCTAATGCAAAACAAGTTTATTTACCATCAGTACATGACGCAAAGCCATCTGTTCGAGTTTCAGCTAAGCTTCCATTGTAGGGAAGCGAGCCGAGTTTATTTACATACAACAGTTTATAACACAAGGCAACTGAAAGGCATTCAAATGTACATCCTCCAAGCATTAAAATCATAGATAATCAAGTTTATTTATGAAGCACAATTCATGCAATGCAACCCAAAGTGCATTACAAAGACATAAAAACTAACACATTTACAAATATTATAGAACATATATGGTAAAAAAAAAAAAATCCTTGATCCTGGATATATCCTGGATTTACATTTTGTCAGAGTAGAAGCCTGGTTCACATTTTCAGAAAGATTTTAGCTGCATATATCTGATCTGCTGCTTCCCCAATGTTTGATCCTGACTCTGGGCACCAGCAGGAGGCCCGTCCCTGTGCTCCTCAGAAGAAAAAGTGAAAAAAAAAGCATACAGCCCAAACTGGAGTTACATTGTAGTCAGGACATATTTATTTCCTCACTAAACAATCAGAGAGAAGAAGTCAGGATTAGAATGTCATTTCCATAACCGTGAGGGCAGGGTCGTCTAAAGCAGGGAGCACTTGTCTCCCATGAGTCCCTCCTTTGGTTTGGATGGTGCTTCTGTCTGTCGTCCCTGTGATACACTCATGTCTCTCAGAGCTTTCAGAGTGGAGCCCTTTGTCACCACACTCTCAACCTTCATTGTAATCAACTTAAGCTTTCCGACAAGCTCTGATTCCTCCCAATTATCCCATTACTGCTACAGTTTAAGCCGGGAAGATGAAATCGGAAGCTTTTGTTTGGCTTGTTGACTTGTGAGTCTGGTCTTGTGGTCCCAAAATTAGCCTCCTCTCTGCTGATCCCTGCAGTCACGCTCTTTCCCAGCAGCAGACAGACATTAATCTTATTAAAGCAACATGTTTGTTTTGGCTCCCCCTTTGCCTCGGTGCACCCCAGCTCGGACAAAGCATCACAGCAGCCCTATGCATCACCAACATTTAATCGAAGAGAAAATCTATGGACCTCGGCGAGCCATTTGTTAGGACCGGGCGCCAAAAAGCCAAAAAGCAAAGGCAAAATCTGGTTGTTTTCCCAGACTCTGTTGAGAGCTGCAGACCCCAAGAGAGGGATTTATTCTTAGCAACAGAAACTAGTGCCTAGCTATAGAAAATAAAACTAGTAATTTACCCAGACACTGGTGATTGTGAAGAGGAGGCGGATGTGAGGCTGTGTTCGGGAGAGAGCGAGAGGAGCTGGAGCTTGTATCTGAAATGGTCTTACAATTAGATTTAGTTTTTGATCAAGCGCAGCCGCCTCCTTTCCTCATTCCGAGAGAGAAATATCTTGCCTTTTTCTTATTTTAAAGTTAAATAAGACGTAATACTTGTTTCATCTGCAAATCTTATTTAAGAAAGTCAAAATATCCTACGTTCAACTACTTCATTCTTTCAAGAGTACTTACTGCAGTTATGACCGATACAGATACACATAGCTACAGCCCAATAACTATATTATTAACCCGTTTGGCATCAAAATTGCAGAATTTTTAAATGACCTCCCATTATTTTCCTGCATTTTTGTTTCTCACATGTCTTTTTTTTTTAGATTTCTTGCATTGATTTTAGTTGTGAACTTTAGTTGCAAAGTTTCAGGGCTCCACCTTTTGTCTCTTTCACATCAGATTTCACTGATGCCTAAAGAGCTCACATTCTTTTCACACAATGTTTACTTCTTTCGATCCTGGAACTAACCGGCAAACGTCCTCCCCCTAGACTCGCACCCTGGGCTCTGTTCAGCACCCTTCACGTGTAAAAGGATAAAGGATAAATAAAACCCATTTCTCTCGATCACGTCCTTCCTGCAGAGACTAATGAAGGGAATAGGTTATTGTCTGGGTACAAAACACCAGCAGCTTTGGCTAATAAACAGCTGTAGGCACATTTCCACACTCCTATCCTGTCCGCTGAGGTCTTTCATTTCAGCAGACACCCACCCGGCCGAGGGGGAGATAGCCCGTCCCAAAGCGATCGCATTCTCGTCCCTCCCATAAAAAGACTGGCTCGCTTTTTCTTCCTCTCTCTCCCATCCACGAGACATGCACTGCACCAAAAAGCAGAAGCCCCCTCCTCCCCCATCCTCCCCTCCCCTCCCCTCCCTTGCCTTGCCTCTCCGCAGCCAATAAGAACCCAGAACCAGTGCCTCCCAGATATATACAGTATTAGGGCAGAGCGGCTTTTAACCGACGCACACATTTTCATAGATGTAAGAATTTTGACGAAAAAAAAAAAAAACATTGTCTATTTGTAAATTTTGATTTCTGTCTTTTTTTCTTTTCCCCTTTCACTGCTTCTCATCCCCCACCCCAAAAAAAAAAAAAAAAAAAAAAAATCTGCATTTTCTTTTTTTTTGCCTCTTTCCTCAAACATCCCGCAGTGCTAAGCTTTTGTGTTACTAAACGCTTCTTCTCCTCGTGTCTCGCTGTAAACAGGCAATCATCCCTTCTTCCTATGCTCTTTTCTTCCACGCATTATTAATCCGCAAGCTGTGGTTCAGTCTTTATTTTGGCCCTCCTTGCTTTCCTTCCATCTCTGTCTGCTTCTCAGGTCTCTCAGGTCTCAACCCGGACAAAATACGTGAGCTGTGAGTACTGGCGTCATTGTGCTTTTTGGACTGTCCATGAAACCAATCGGTGCAGATCCGAAGTTTTCCAATTAGAACATTTTATTAGAATTAACTGTAATCAAATAAGGTTTCTCTGCTTTTGCAAATTTAGCGTTATCAGCAGCTGTCATTGATTGTATCATGGATATTGTTTTGGCATGGGAAGGATATTATTTTAAAAAAAAAAGGGTTCAAATCTAATAATTACAAAGAATAAAGCACATGTAGAATTATGAATGAAATTATATGAATTAAAAATATTAGATATATTGGTGTAAAAAAAAGGCATTTAAACAAAGTTATTACGAACGCGCACTAGGAGCACGTATATAGAGTTTTTAAATTATATTCTGACATGTATATTATTAATACCATTTAGTTTTTTTTTTTAAGAGATTGCTTTATGAACATGTACAAAAGAAAGTCTCATCTATGTTTTATATAATCAAGCTTTTTTTGTATTTTTATACTTGTAAAAGAGGACTCATGCGCATGTAACACCTTGAGTTTGTAAATTATTTTAAAGATGTTTTATTTTTTCTGCTAACACGACATGACCATTTGTCACGAGAGGCCAGTTGTGTAAATATTAGAAACACCTCATTGTGATTAATGCTGGAAAGTACGCTCCGAAGGGACGCGCCGAAAGTACGCTCCGAAGGGACGTGCCAAAAGTACGCTCCGAAGGGACGCGCCGCTGCGACTGCGACTCTCCAGGGTTTTAAGTGGAAATAGGCTCTTCGTTCAAGCGTGGGTACTGTATAACTTTTCAATACATCAATAAATAATACATTTTTCTCGTCCCAACAGAAAGAGAGTCTTGTAATAGAAGTAGAAATGTGGACAGATTAGACTACAACTCGCCATATTCATCATTAAAAACAGTTATTTTACGATGTTACTGTTTGGCGCTTGGGTTGAGTGAGGAAACATCTGATCTAAAGATGTGACCGAAGCCAAAAAATACACACAGGTCAAAACTAGTGATTTAAACTAAAGAAAATGATGTACCCCGCAGCTATCCCAACAGTAATTGATTAATACAGTTTAAAATGGATGTAAAAAGGTTCCATATTACTCCGCCTCAAACCAATAACTTATCATGAATCTATTTCTAATGGTCTCGCATACAGCAGGAAGTTGAAGTAAGTTGTTTATTAAATGATTATTAATTATCCAATTTCAACAGTTAAATGTCGGAAAACGTTCTTCTCCGTGCGTCCTCGTTTCGGCCATGGCAACAGTTACTATGGTACTTTTTCTGGCTCAAAAAGTAGTCCCTTTCCTCAAACACGTTTTGAATAGTGCATAGGGCAAAATGTATGTATGTTTAATAATATGTTACGAGTGTTTTGACCACGGTATAAGCACTTTTAACAACTGTATGATTTCTTTGGTCAATCCATACACATTTTTCTGCCGAGTAAAATTATTTGGGGTAATAATAAATGCCAAAACCCCCTGAAATAACCGTAATAATGTCTGTTTATAGCCGCAGAAGTTTCCACGTTCCCACCGGTCGTCACTTCCGTCCCTCCGGAGCCGACTCTTTAGCGTTAACCACCGGATAAGCACATCCCCCTTTCCCTGATCTCTATGGTAACCAATAGTGTACGCACAGGCTATTCACGTGTATTGATGGTTTCTTGATGAATGTGATTCGTGGATGTTCAAATCATGTACATAGACCGCCCCCAAATATGACTATGTCCACATTTTATGTATTTTATAACGACAAAAAACTAGCGGAGACGGCATGCATACTCTATACATTCCTGGAAACTGCACGCTGGGTGACACAGGTCTCATATGTCGATACTTCTGTGTATACTTGTGAGTGTATGATAGAGTAAACAATTGTACAGTAACATTTTGTAACACGTCCAAATAGACGGCCTCGTGTCAGAAAAAAAGAGAACATAATATTATATCGCCTATAGAGAAATATTTGAATGACGTATATAAAAATGACCCCATCTCCCCCCTTCCCAGTCTGAGAGTGGTGCTTGCCGTGTGAGGTATGTGTCGTGACATTGTGAAGAAGAATGATAATCAAATGTACTAAAACCCAATTTAACGAAGCAAAACAATGTGCAATTCTATGTGTGAGGAGGAAGGATACGTGGCTGCTTCATGTGAGACGAGAAAACCAGACCGAGATCGCTGCTTTTGTACGTTCCTGTTGTGTTTTTGTGACAATAAAAGTGACTCTCAAACAAGACGTGGAGGATGTGGACGATTATTACGACTCCAGATGTTTAAGCTAACAAAAATATCTGTCAGTGTTTACTTGTTTATGAATGAATGAAGTAGAACATTGTCAGGACAGTAAATTACAGCAGAATTAGGCTGTAGGCTGAAGCTAATGCTAATTTTGCCGACCCTTTTTACAGTGACATTTGTGTAAGTGAATGTAAACAATAGCATTCGAATTAGCAACGATATCAACATCAAAAATCTGAGTTCAGGCAGCCTCCTCCAGATAGTTTTAAACATCCTTTTAAAGTGGTAAAGTGAGTTGCACGACTTAAGTTCATCTGTGCTTCGATTCCAGAGATCAACCCCTCTCACAGATAAACAACTTTTCATTAAATTAATTCAACATTTTTGTTTTATGAGCATGTCTGTTTCTGTAGTGGGTCAGACAGGTCATTTTTAATTTTTACTATCAAACTGTGAAGGTCGACAAAAGCATAGAATTTTGATATTTGTAGATTTATAAACAGTGCATTTGTGGCTCGTTGTAGGCTGATAATGTAATGGCTCTTATTGCCTTTTATGGAACTTTAGTATTAGTTTTATAAGTGTTGCCCCATATCTCGATGCATTATGTAATATAGGGCATTACTAATGAGTTTTAACCTTTTGGACTCACTAATAAGTTGCTTTTCTCGTTGAAATTGTACCATTGCAACTTACTCCCAGCAGAAAAGAATAGATAAAAGTCAGATGCTCTAATATTCTCAAGTGAAAAAATAATAATAGACTTTACACTGTATTTCTTATTGTTTTTTTCTTTTTGTGATGTGGCGAGGAGGCTCTTATACCTCACAGAAGTTTCCAAATACCACAAATTGTTTCTGTTCTGATCCCTGGTGAATTATCTCGCCTGCAGCTGGATATTATATTTGTCTTGAAGGTGTAAAAGAATAATCCGTTCTAAGCACAGATGGCTCAGACTAAACACCAGCGTTTCTCCTGTGACCAGCAGCCGGTTCATTTAGCTGAAGTTAGTGTAATTGTGGAAAGTAAAAACAAAATTCAGGATAATTGGATTGATTCTAATTATAACAACAAAAATAACACTCTTTTTTCTTATTTTGTAGATTCAATGAACAATAGATACAGCTATGTGTTTGATGTGTGTCCTCAGATTACAGGTCCTTCTGATGGTACATGACTTTACCCCATCAACAGTTCAGAAAGAGGCTCTCATTTGGGTTGCCAGATTGGTAAAATGTAGCTGGTTTTGGCTCAATTCACACAAACACTACTAACAAACAGAAAAAAAAAATCTCCATGCATTTGTTTGAATGAAAGCAGCCACAAAAATAAGTCATAATGAAACACACAGTTTGTTTTGAGTCTAGCTAAACTCCAGTAGGTGGTCTGCATCAGTAATCAGGGCTTTGGAGCTTTAAGAGTCACAGACAGGAAGACAGTTATGATAGTAATTACATTGTTACAAGACTGCATGAGACATATTGACAATGGTCCACCACAAGATCTTCTCCATCAACTTCCACTGATGTCTGCTGTCGTTGTGTCCTTGGGCAAGACACTTAACCCCACTTTGTCTGAAGCCCCCCCACTGAAAGATCATTGCTGTGCTCTCACCAACAGGCGTCCTCTTGTGGACTCACCGCCTACAGGAGCATCAGTGAGACTGCTGCTGCCACCCCCTGACCCAGATATGGATTAAGGGGTAGAAGATGGATGGAGGATACATAATGTCTTCCTCCACCTTTTCATTGAGGAAAATGATCCAAAAGAAATTAAAATAATTTGCCAAAGTCAATGATTCAATGAGTTCACATTGGCAGGACCCCGAGCTTGTTCATCGAACCTAGAGTCAAGACATGAAATACAAGTCAGATCTGTTGAATGGCGGTTCCATAGTCCACCTGCACATGTGTCCCTCTGTGAGCTGCAGAACATCAAATCAATAAGATTAGATAAACTTTATTGATCTCACACTGGAGAAATGTACAGATATAATCACTCAGATTGTGCAAAAGACAGAAATATGAAACATGTTAAAGGTAAAACATATAGTCTGTGCAGGATATAATTATGTACAGTAAAAAGTGGCAATAGCAGTGCTGTTCAGTCTTAGTACTGGTCAATAGTGACTTAAAGTGACTTATCGTACAGTCTGACAGCGGTGGAGATGAAGGCCCCGGAGAAAAGCTGACTTAATCTCATTTCCTCCTTCTCAGGCCTTCTTTATTAAAACAAATTCTTTCACTTTCACCACAATGAGCCGATCTGTCCGGTCGAGTTGGGTTGGTGTCTGACTGGTGCAGAAAACATTTTGCCAAGCCTGTTCTTCCATGAGTCTGGCAGCGAGTGGAACAGCCCCGCCCCTTCAGAGTCAGTGTCTTCAGAGCACGTGCCAACATCACTTTGAAACTGGAGACTTCTGACACCAGTGTGAAGACAGGGACAAGGTAAGAATTCAACATTTTACTGAAGCTACTCTATATTCTGCCTTTCAAACCGTCTCCACACTGCTCAATGAAAAACACAGAGATATGTGACTATAGGTACAGTGTATAAAGAGCAGGTGCAGGGACTCCATGGGTTCTGAAAACACACAACCTGTTTTTGTTTCATAAACTAAAAGGTTGCCTGAAAGCCTATAATGGTCCACATCTTAACATTTTTCTATTATGTTTGAAGAAATGGATACACCTTCCAACCATCACCATCCAGCACTTTAGTGTTGGGGGAAACCGGAGCACCTGGAGGAAACTTCAGACTCGGGGAGAACATGCAAACTATACATAAATCAATCAATCAATCAACGTTTATTTGTAGAGCGCCTTTCCTACACAAGGCAACGCAAAGCGCTTCACATCCCCTATCACATCATGCATAAATCAAACACATTAAGAGCACAAGATATATTAAAAACATTAAAAATAAAATCACAAAAATTAAAAACCTTTAAACATTAAAATCACAGATGGGACTAAAATCATAAATAGTCACAGTGCATTAAAAAGATTAAAGATAAAAACAAAGATGAAAAGATAAAATCATTCAGTTGTATATGCGCAGCTAAACAGAATTGTTTTGAGCCTAGATTTAAAAGATGCCAGAGTAGACGCCTGTCTCACATTCTCAGGAAGACGGTTCCAGACTCTAGCCGCATGAATCTGAAATGCAGTTTGCCCATGTCTAGTACCGACTCTGGGCACTAACAGGAGTCCAGTCCCTGTGCTCCTCAGAGTCTGGGTCGGTTCATATGGCACAAACATGTCATGGATGTACCTTGGCGCGAGACCATGGAGAGACTTGTACACAGTAAAGCTGCTTTGAAGTCTATTCTCTGAGGAACAGGAAGCCAGTGCAGAGACCTGAGAACTGGACTAATGTGGTCGTACTTCCTAGTTCTGGTCAGGACTCGAGCTGCTGCATGTTGAATGTACTGCAGCTGTTTTACAGCCTGTTTTGGACAGACCTGTGAGCAGGCCATTGCAATAGTCTAACCGACTGGAGACAAAAGCATGTATAAGAGTCTCCAAGTCTGCCTTAGACACTATGTTTTTAATTTTAGCAATGTTTTTTAGGTGGTAATAAGCTGCTGATGTTACAGATTTTATGTGGCTTTTGAAATTTAAGTCTGAGTCCATTATCACTCCTAGATTTCTGACCTGATTTGAGGGTTGTAGAGAGAGAGCCTGGAGGTGACAAATAACGCTCTCTCTTTGTTTCTGGGGTCCGAAAACAATTATTTCAGTTTTGTCGGTGTTTAGTTGGAGAAAGTTATTTTGCATCCAATCACCGATTTGCTGGACACAGTGAAGAAGCGAGTCCACTGGTTCATGCTCTCCTGCTGTCAGGGACACATAGACCTGAGTATCGTCAGCGTAATTGTGATAAGAGACATTATTACTGTGAATCAACTTGACCTAGAGGCAACATGTAAATATTAAACAGAAGAGGACCCAGGATTGACCCCTGTGGCACTCCGCAGGTCAGGGCCAAGTGGTCTGAGGTACAGTTTTCGATCTCCACAAAAAACTTTCTGTCTTGTAAATAGGACCTAAACCAGCTTAGGGCGGTGCCAGCAACACCAACCCAGTCCTCAAGTCTCTGAATGAGGATTGCCATGATCAATAGTGTCAAAAGCAGCACTTAAATCTAACAGAAAAAGGACTGAGACTTTTCCTGCGTCAGTGTTTAGTTTGATGTCATTTGTTACCTTTATTAGCGCGGTCTCAGTGCTGTGGTGGGGTCTAAACCCTGACTGGAACATATCATAAGCGTTATTGATTATTAAAAATTCTGTAAGTTGTTTATAGGCAACTTTTTCTAGAATTTTTCCCATGAAAGGCAGATTTGAAATGGGCCGATAATTTTTGAGTGCCAGGGCTTCCAGACTCCTCTTTTTTAGGAGGGGCCTGATGACCGCCGTTTTCAAGGCCATTGGGAATGTTCCAGATTCAAGAGACATATTAACTATTTGTGTAAGTGAAGGTAAAAGACTGCTCAGAACTGACTTGAGAAATCTAGGAGGTAATACATCCAGGCTGCATGTGGAGGAACTCAGACTAGTGATTATCTCCTGGACAGTTTCAATTTGTACTGGTGTAAAGTGCGTCAGCCCAAAAAGCCTCACTGGCTGTTGGATTATTATTTCTATCGTGGAGGTGATGGCGTTTTTGATACCTTGGACTTTGTCATTAAAGAACTGAGCAAACTCATTACATTTAGATTTGGAAGTAAGTTCTGATGGCATCTTAACAGGGGGATTCGTCAATCTATTTACTGTTGAAAACAGAACACGTAGATTGTTGCTACAGCCTTCAATAGTTTCAGAAAAGTACATTTCCCTCGTTCTACGTAGTTCCCTGTTAAAATTGCACAACGCATCTTTGAAGATCTCATGGTCAACTTTGAGATTTGACTTTCGCCACTTCCGCTCGGCCTTCCGGCACTCTCTCTTCTGTGCCCTGACCGAGTCTGCTTTAGTCCATGGCGCTTTTTGCTTGTTTGTAACTATTTTAACCTTTACAGGAGCAATTGTATCCAGAACATTCAAAACAGTGGTGGTGACAGAATCAAGCAATTCATCTACAGTAACACACAACGTGTTCTCAAAGTTTACCCTCCCCATGAACAGTTCGCCTGTATTATCATTTATGTGTCTTCTTCTAACAACCGAAGATTCAGCTGGTGGTTTACAATCAAGACACACTGTCAAAAAATACACAGAAATGATCAGACAGAGCAACATTGACCACATTTACATTTGAAATATTAACCCCCTTGGTAATTAACAGATCGAGAGTGTGTCCTCTGCTGTGGGTGGGGCCACTCACATGCTGAGTGAGACCAAAGGTTTCCAGCACAGAGCTCAGCTCTATTGCATATCTATCATTAGCATTATCTACATGTATATTGAAATCACCTACAATGACCAAACCATCAAAATCTGTGCACACAACTGAAAGCAACTCAGTGAAATGATCAGTGAAACTATGGCATGACTGTGGCGGCTTGTACACAACAATAATAAGAATGGAAGAAGATTTCTTTTGTTCTATTTTAAAAGAAACATACTCAAATGATGAACATTTCCCAAGAGACACTCTATGGGAGACAATACGATCTTTAAAAACTGCTGCTATGCCCCCCCCCCCCCTTTTATTTTCTCGTGTTTCATGTTCAAATTTGAAATTTGGTGGTGAGGCTTCTATTAAAACTGCATCTCCTGTATTATGGTCAAGCCATGTTTCAGTCATAAACATAAAATCAAGATCATACGAACAGATAAAATTATTAATTAAAAATGATTTGTTGCATAGTGATCTGACATTAAGTAGAGCAAGGTTAAAATTAATATCAGTGTCAATGGGTTTAGTTGATTGATTACAAAGAACTGGAATTAGATTTCCAGAGTTGGACCGTCTAACTGCTGTCCTTCTTTTAAATGTGTGTTTATTCAAGTTAAAACACATTTCTGAGCTGGTGCGAGAAACACACACAGTCTCTATTGGTTTAAAAAGTGAACTCTGTTGTACTTTGTTAAGTTCCAGATGCATAACTGAGTCAGCACAGTTCAGTGGCAGGACTGTCGTTACACTGCCAGACTGACAGGGGTCAGTGTTTGCACCACAGTACTCACCCGGTGCTGGTAAGGAGGAGGAGGAGGGGGGTGGTGGGGGCCGAGAAGCCTCAGGCCCTTGATTTTTCTGTGGATTTTTTATTCCCTGATTCTGCATTTAAGTCATACACGATCTGTGCTTGTTGAAGCCGGTTCAAACAGTACCTCGAAAAAAAAATCAGACAAGGATTTTAATTTGGCCTAAATTTAGCTGACGACAGAAATATGCACTTTCCACTATGAAAACCCGAACATTCACCTTAATCATCTTAACCACAGTGAACTTTGATATCCTTGACAACACAACCTAAAGACAATGCATTAAATATGAATTAACATGATAATAAAACTAGTGTTATTCTAGTGTCATTGATGTAAAGTGTAGTGCCTAAAACCTTTGATTCACCTTTGAATTGTTTCGTAATATCTCCACATGGAGCCTGAGATCTGTACAATTCTTCATCTTTAACGTTTAGATTTAAGTTTCCATGAAAGGTGAGTCTGAAAAAAAGTTATTTCAATCTCAAGGTTGAATATTTTGGAGTTACTTTAAGCTGTGGAACATAACTTTCCAATACAAACATAAACCATATGAAACTAATCCTGGCTCTTAAACACTTCTATCACTAGTTTACAGGCTTTTATCTTTGTCACATCTTCAGATCAGCTTCAGACAGAAAAGTGAAAAAGAGGACGACTCTCGTTCAGTTGCTCGGCTGCAAAAGCTATGAACAAGAATTCATGTTTTATATTGTGCCAAACAACATATAAACAGTAATATGCAAAAAAGGTACCCAAGCTTTAATGGCAAAATCAGCTCACATTTAGAAACAATGTCACTTCTTTAAAGGTATAAAGGAGGATTCCCTCGAATTTTAGGAAAGAGCCGCCTTCCTCAGAGGGAACGCCCATTAAAACCTGTCTTGCATATCACCAGATTGATTGACAATTAGGACGTGCAATAGTTTAGATCAATGTTTTTCAACCAATGGGCCGTGACACGTTGGTGAGCCTTGAGAGCATGTTTGGTGTTAATCAAATATCACCTAATTGGTCAAAATTCAGTGAAAGGAAAGAGAAAAGATTAGAATGACTTTTGCCCCCTTGTTTAATTTTCTCGGTAATACACATAGTAAGACTTGCATTGTTCATAAAGGCTGCCTTGTTTTTTTTGTATGAGCTGGTGGGGTGCCATGGCTCAAAAAGGTTGGAAACACTGATTTAGATGATCCATCCAGAAGTAGAAAATCATCCCATATTCCTTTAAGGTCAGATTGTTTTAGAAACGCTGCTTCAGAGTAGATTATCAGAGCTGTGTCAGAGGCCGATCAAGTATCGATGTTTATTCGTTATTATCTGTGTGTTTGTAGCCCTTCAGAGCCCCTCAAGCACAGACTGGACTATGTGGATGTTCGGCAGACAGGGAGACCAGGGAGACCAGGGAGGACAGTCTGACGTCCAAAGAGACCAACTCCTCATCCATTTGACCACTTACATCGAGCTGCACCGGACCCATAAGGACAGATTCAAAAACACTGCAGACTTCTTCCTCCAAGCTCAGGAACAGGAATATGATATAGGCCGGATCTTACTGTACATGTATGCTCTCGGTGGGGGGTATGTGGGCAGTGTTGTTGGCACTGTTGTTGGCTTAATCAGTGGCGGGTTTACCGGAAGTCTGGCTGCTGTGGCTGCCGCTGCTATTCTCAGGAAAGAGCTGAATGCTGTGTCTGCCTCTGTGGGGTTCTTTGGAGGAATACTGGGAAGTGTGGTGGGTGCAACGTTTGCCGGGTTCCTCGGGGGCGCTATCGGGGCTGCAGTAGAATCCAGCGGACACTCGGCTTACAACGAGTTGCACCTGCCGTTCTGGGGATTAATCGGAGGAATCACTGGAGCTGGGATCGGGGATATCTTAGGTGGGAAGGTTGGGTTAGTTGCAGGGGCTATCGGCGGAGGCGTGGGTGGGTTCTGTGGAGTCAGTGTTCCTGTGATGTTAATAAAAGCCTACACGGTCGAATATGATCAAACAAACATTTCACAACAGAAAAGTAAAGCCATAAAGTTGGAAGAAGTAACGCAGGATTTTAAGAAGAACACGTCTCATTTTGCTGCTGAGCTGTCAGTCATCCACAGCATCAGCAGTAAGATGGTGCCAGGAGTAGAGGCGGGACGTGTGGCTGTGCAGAGCTCCTTGAGTCTTACTGCGCTTTCCAAGGCAACAAAGGCGATCTACGATGTGCAAATTACACCACAAACTACCTCCTGCTGGAAGAAAGCAGCCCAACAGTGCACGCACATGTGTGAGCAGCTGGAAATGATGCGACGTGAGGCTGAGAAAGTGCGGGCCTCATGGAGCCAGTAGCACCAGCTTCTGTGGAGGATGGGGATATAATGATATATACTGTATATATATATATATATATATATACTCTAATGTAATGTATGTGGGGCTATTCATGTAAATGTATGTATATTTTTACTGATTATTGTTTAAAAGTACTGATATAAGTGACATAAGCTTTTGTTTGTTTTAATCCTGATGAAAGTGGCCTAGTCCATTTATTTTTAAATAGTCAAACTTGCTGTGAGCCAACGATACATTCCACTTTGCATGTAAAGAGTCTGTCATATCTTAGTTTCACATTTTAAGTTCAATTACAGAATTAAATGAACAACATTTATTAGAAAACTGTCTAAACCTTCCCTGGGATCTTCTGTGGCGGTCGCGGCATGCACAGCTGTAGCTTAAGTTTAACTTAAACTGTTTAAGTTCCAGTTTGTATCTGTGCAGAGGCGACGCTGCTCACTCCAAACATGCATGTTTTTGAGCAGTAAAAACACCTCTCTTCAAATATTGATTTAATATAACACTGTGGAACATTAAAGCAAAGAATGAGAACAAAGTGGACTCAGAGAGCACCTTTAGAAACAGTTTTTATGCCATATTCTGGGAGAGGTTGTTCCTGCAGAAAAAAGACCATTTAAAGCACAAAATAAATGTTTGTATTGTATGTGTTAAATCACCAAAGTACGAGATGTGGGAGTCATTTCTGGCAAAGGATAAATATCTATCGCCGTTCCATGTCAACAAACAGGTACGAGTGCGGTTTGTGGAGATAGGACACATGTTTATGTAATAAAGTTAATTAGTCTCTTTTTGGTCTAAAAAGTTACGTATTGGGAATTTGTAGTTTTTCATACTTTGTTGAACTTTATTGACTTGAAATCTTAAAAAAAATATATATATAATAATAATAAAAGAGAATTAAAAAAAAACTTTTTGTTGTACTTTTATAACTTGAGGCAGTTTTTCTGGAAGTGTGATGAAGTCGAGGCAGACGAAAGCAGAAGCCAAAGTTGTATAAAACATTTAATTTTTGAAATGCAGAAGCAAAGTAGCAATCTCTCAGTATTAAAAATAATTTATATCATAAAAATCTTCATCCTGATCAGGCTTTTGCAGAGAACGGATCATTCAGGAGCGTTTTAATCGAAGAGTTCTACCGCAGTAATCACATAGTTTCTACTTTACATACTCGTCTTAATTATCTCGTTTGTCATTCTCCGTCATTAACAACATTGATTTGAATTATATCAGTGCTTCTCAAACAAACCCGGAGGAGAAAACAAGAAAGTCCTGGTCCAGAGGGAGGAGCATGCGTTTGCAGCCACATGCGTCAGTCCAGGCTGTTCTGCTGTTTCTACAGAGTGAGAGGTCTGTCTCTACATGATGTGGTCAGAGTGAGAGGTCTGTCTCTACATGATGTGGTCAGAGTGAGAGGTCTGTCTCTACATGATGAGGTCAGAGTGAGAGGTCTGTTTCTACATATGCCGTCAGAGTGAGGTGTCTGTCTCTACATGATGAGGTCAGAGTGAGAGGTCTGTCTCTACATGATGAGGTCAGAGTGAGAGGTCTGTCTCTACATGATGTGGTCAGAGTGAGAGGTCTGTTTCTACATGATGTGGTCAGAGTGAGAGGTCTGTCTCTACATGATGAGGTCAGAGTGAGAGGTCTGTCTCTACATGATGAGGTCAGAGTGAGATGTCTGTCTCTACATATGCCGTCAGAGTGAGGTGTCTGTTTCTACACGATGTGGTCAGAGTGAGAGGTCTGTCTCTACATATGCCGTCAGAGTGAGGTGTCTGTTTCTACATGATGTGGTCAGAGTGAGATGTCTGTCTCTACATATGCCGTCAGAGTGAGATGTCTGTTTCTACATGATGTGGTCAGAGTGAGAGGTCTGTTTCTACATGATGTGGTCAGAGTGAGATGTCTGTTTCTACATGATGAGGTCAGAGTGAGAGGTCTGTCTCTACATGATGAGGTCAGAGTGAGAGGTCTGTCTCTACATATGCCGTCAGAGTGAGGTGTCTGTTTCTACATGATGAGGTCAGAGTGAGAGGTCTGTCTCTACATATGCCGTCAGAGTGAGATGTCTGTCTCTACATGATGTGGTCAGAGTGAGAGGTCTGTCTCTACATGATGTGGTCAGAGTGAGAGGTCTGTCTCTACACGTTGTGGTCAGAGTGAGAGGTCTGTCTCTACATGATGTGGTCAGAGTGAGATGTCTGTCTCTACATGATGCGGTCAGAGTGAGATGTCTGTTTCTACATGATGTGGTTAGAGTGAGATGTCTGTTTCTACATGATGAGGTCAGAGTGAGATGTCTGTTTCTACATGATGTGGTCAGAGTGAGATGTCTGTTTCTACATGATGTGGTCAGAGTGAGAGGTCTGTTTCTACATGATGTGGTCAGAGTTAGAGGTCTGTCTCTACATGATGAGGTCAGAGTGAGGTGTCTGTTTCTACATGATGAGGTCAGAGTGAGAGGTCTGTTTCTACATGATGTGGTCAGAGTGAGATGTCTGTTTCTACATGATGCGGTCAGAGTGAGATGTCTGTTTCTACATGATGTGGTCAGAGTGAGATGTCTGTTTCTACATGATGTGGTCAGAGTGAGATGTCTGTTTCTACATGATGTGGTCAGAGTGAGATGTCTGTTTCTACATGATGTGGTCAGAGTGAGATGTCTGTTTCTACATGATGTGGTCAGAGTGAGAGGTCTGTTTCTACATGATGCGGTCAGAGTGAGAGGTCTGTTTCTACATGATGCGGTCAGAGTGAGAGGTCTGTTTCTACATGATGTGGTCAGAGTGAGAGGTCTGTTTCTACACGATGAGGTCAGAGTGAGAGGTCTGTTTCTACATGATGAGGTCAGAGTGAGAGGTCTGTCTCTACATGATGTGGTCAGAGTGAGAGGTCTGTTTCTACACGATGTGGTCAGAGTGAGATGTCTGAGGACACTTGCAGGTGTTGTCCTGGCTTCCACTTGGCGCTGCGGCGGCCCCCGTCCGCCCTCCTGTACGGCTGGTTCCTCAGATCTGGAGCGACACAGACACGGGTCAGAACGACGACTGTTCAAAGATCAGCAGAGTCTTTTTACTTCAGTTCAGTATAATTTTAATATGAGTTTTGCTTCTAACTTGGTGGAACTTGGTTTTATTTTTGACCTGAATAATCATAGTTAGTAGTTAGCAGCGGTGGCAAAAGTATAGTCTCAGGTACTTGAAGGTATACAGGAGGATTATCTAGTTGCCGGTGGATCATCAAGACTATTGGTCCTCCGAGCTGTCAGTCATTCTGGTGATACGTGCTCGACCAATAAGACCAGAGAGTTTTGTTCAAAAAGTGGAGAGGGCGGTTCTTTCCTAAAATTTGGGATAATCCTCCTATAAACTTTTAAGTTAAGTATACTTTAAATATGAGTTTTGCGTGTAACTTGGTGGAACTTTTTATTTTATTTTGACCTGAATAATCATAGTCTAAACATTCAGTCTTTGCCCAGAGGTTTGTGTGACATTCACAGATGAAGCTGACCACAAACTGGACGACAGTAAAAACATTGAACAGTGTGAATGAGGAAAGAGCATGAAGAAAAAGTGAAAGTAGATTGCGACCGTACCGGGGCATCAGGGGGAGCTGTTGTCAGAGAGAGAGAGAGAGAGAGAGATGAGAGAGAGAGGGTCTGTACCGGGGCATCAGGGGGAGCTGTCGTCAGAGAGAGAGAGAGAGATGAGCGAGAGAGGGTCTGTACCGGGGCATCAGGGGGAGCTGTCGTCAGAGAGAGAGAGAGAGATGAGAGAGAGAGGGTCTGTACCGGGGCATCAGGGGGAGCTGTCGTCAGAGAGAGAGATGAGAGAGAGGGAGAGGGTCTGTACCGGGGCATCAGGGGGAGCTGTCGTCAGAGAGAGAGAGAGATGAGAGAGAGAGGGTCTGTACCGGGGCATCAGGGGGAGCTGTCGTCAGAGAGAGAGAGAGATGAGAGAGAGAGAGAGGGTCTGTACCGGGGCATCAGGGGGAGCTGTCGTCAGAAAGAGAGAGAGATGAGAGAGATGAGAGAGGAGAGAGAGGGTCTGTACCGGGGCATCAGGGGGAGCTGTCGTCAGAGAAGACGGCGTCACAGAGAAGCCGCGACGAACGTTTGCCAGAGCGAGCCGTGAAGGGCACGGACTTAAGAGCTGCACCAAACACACAGAGAGAGGGAGAAGGAGAAAGAGAAGAGAGAGGAGGACAGAGAGAGAGAGGGAGGAGAGAGACAGACATGGAGAGAGAGAGAGAGACAGGGAGAGAGAGAGAGAGAGAGACAGACAGAGAGAGAGGCAAAGTGAGGCAGAGAGAGACAGAAAGAGACAGGGAAAGAGAGGTCGACAAAGAAAGAGAGAAACAGAAAGAGGAGAGGAAGAGGACAACACAAGGACAAAGAAGAGCAGTGTAAAAAGAAAGTACAAGTGTTGAAGTGGGACTGAGGCTGTGTGTGAAAAGCAGAGACTGAAGGACGGAGCAGATTACAGAGTGTTTTAAAGAACGCTGCCAATAAGGGACGCAAACACAGATAAAAGGATTATGCACCGAGAGAAAAGGTGTTGTTATGTGTGTGTGGGAAGACATTATTCACAAAACAAAACAAGATGGAAGAGTGAAAGCTGGAGGTCAAAGAAGACATTTTAAAATCCAGTCAATGCTGCTCAATCATTAAACCATCTCTTTAAAGCAGCAGTGTGTAAAAATGTGGCTAAAAGTGGTACTGCAGCCTCTCTCTCCCTGACTCAGGTTGCCAGATATGCAGACGAATCCAGCTGGGACCATAACAGCTGAATAGACAAGAGTTTTGTCAACAACAAATCTATAACCAACACCTTTTTCACAAAGATAGAAATCCTGGTTTTATTCCCTGTTTTGTTGTTAATGATTTGAGAATCATAACGAGACCTTTTTTAGTTCTGCGCCAAATGGTACTTTACCAGTGAGATCAGCTCCACACGGTGAGTTCTGGCGCCCTGATCACAGACTTTCTCATTGGTGAAACGGTGGAGGGCGGGACATTTAGAATTTAAATTAAAATTCCAAATATTTCTAAACTACTGCAATCAGTTAAAGCTGCACTAACTGACTTTATTTTTGTATTCATTACAAAAATGCTATCCATATTCATGTAGTGCAGTGTCTCCCAAAGTGGGGTCCGCGGCCCCCTGGTGGGCCGCGAGGGTACTGCAGGGGGGCCGCGGGAGGTCATAAAAAAAAGAAAAAAATAATATAATTATTTAATGTTAAATTTATAATGTTTTGTTTGTAATATTAAAATATTTGTGTTCATTATTTGACTTGAATAATCCACTGTAATCATTTTTGTATTACAATGTTTGTAGCAGAGGCTATTTCCCCAAAATAAAATAACCAGAAGAGCCTATTCTTAATGTTGTCTTCTTGGTTATTATTTTGGGGGGCCACGCAGACCCGTCAGATTTTTAAGGGGGCCTCGGTGTTACTGAGTTTGGGAATGGCTGCCCTACACCATGTCCATGTAGTGCATTGGGATATACGTCCTTTTGAAGAAAAAGTAGCGCAGGTTTGTGCTGGCGTGACATTATATTTTAGATCGAGTTTTGATGAAACAAGGAAGAGAATGTGTTTTGGGTCGCAGATTGTGACCAATCACAGCGGACCACTGGCCCCCACTTTCGTGAGAAATCTACAGGTCTCTGTTAGCATAGACGGCTAAGTTAGCACAACAAGCCGAGTGGCTAACCTGAAACTTCGTGTGTCTTCGTCACCGGTTACTGCTTACTCAGCGAGACAGCCATCCAAAAGAAAGTCTCGTTCCTCCGCGCTTCCCGGTTCTATCGTTCTATGGTCACGCCATCCACGTGCAAATCCATGTCCATGTATTATCCATATTGGGAGACACTAGCTACGTCCCAACAGTGAGTGTGTGTGGGGGGCGATAGCTTCGTGGGTGCGGGGAGGGGAGCAGAAAGAGAGAGGCCAGCGAGTCCGCGGCTTCAAAATCCCAAAGTCAGTTAGTGCAGCTTTAAAGAAGTGTTTTAAAATAGCATGTTTTATTAATGGCTTTCGACAGATTAGGGCCCTTTAATGATGACAGATTAGGGCTTTTAATGATGACAGATTAGGGCCTTTAATGATGACAGATTAGGGCCCTTTAATGATGACAGATTAGGGCCCTTTAATTATGACAGATTAGGGCCCTTTAATTATGACAGATTAGGGCCCTTTAATGATGACAGATTAGGGCCCTTTAATGATGACAGATTAGGGCCCTTTAATGATGACAGATTAGGGCCCTTTAATGATGACAGATTAGGGCCCTTTAATGATGACAGATTAGGGCCCTTTAATGATGACAGATTAGGGGACTAGACATGAAAATCTTACATATCGCTACTTTAATTACTCCAAATACAGGTAAAAAAAACAATCCCATTCATGACAGCGTGAACGAGACTTGCGTTTGTACCTGTGATAATGTCCTCGATGGCTCCGTCTTTTCCCTCTCTCACTAAAGAAGTGGTCTGTCGCTTCTTCAGCTCCGCGATCAGGTCCATCTGAGGCAGCTTTGGCATCGTGGACACCTGGACACACAACACTTTAGAGCTTCCTTCACTTTAGTTTTAACTTGTTGACTCCAGGAGTGAATGGGGCAAAAGAAGTCTGCAAATTCGCTCAAATTGAAGCTATTTGATTTTTTTGCAACACGTATTTAAGACGATTCACTCTTTGGAGGTATTTTCTGAAATTTGATTGTGATGATGGGAACCCTGAACCTGTCTCCCCCGGCCTGGACTCAAGGGCTGGAGCCTGGAGTCCTGGATCCCTCCCTCAATGTGGGCCTCCCCCAAGGTTTTCTCCAACTGGGTTTTTTGTTTGTTTTTCCTTGGCGATGCAGGAGAGTCTAAGGACAGTGACAATAAAACAACAAAATGAATTGAGAATTTTAATATTATGCAAAAGATGGAGCACTGCAATATTTCGGGGGTTGAGGACGACTGAAACCCATAACAGATATAAATACAATAACAATATATCATAAAAATCTATAGGAAATGTTTCGTGGGAAGCTCCGGTCCTGGATTTAGATCGGGATTTAGATTTCTTGTGGCTGTCTGCTACTTCAGCGCCTTAAGGGTTGACATAATAACCAAACATTTTTCCCGTATGACATCACATCTCACCCAAAGATACAGAATAAGAGCTTATTCTTTACAAAATCCTGAACAGCGGTGTCTGGAGCCCGCAGGCCCCGAGGCTGTCGTGTACCTTGTTGATGTCGGGTTTAGGGGAGGTTAGCGGAGGATCACAGGTGACTTTCCTCTTTCGCTCCTCGTTCTCCTGCTCCGCTTGCTGTTCAGACAAAAATGCAAAACAGATACAATTTCACAAATGGAGTCAAAAATGCAGAGTGTGCAGTTTTTTTGTAGCATCTGAAGTGACAGTTTGTTGAATTTGGAAATCGATAAGAGTCTGAGCTGACCTTGTACGCCTTGATGAAGCGCACGAAAACAGGAAAGAACATGGCTGGAGGCATCGTTTTGGGGTTTTCTCCAAAATACTCCACTGCCGAGTCATACACGTCCTAAAAAAGACGGAATTTTATGAATTAATCAAAATGATACACACAAAATATCATCAGAATAAGTCTCAAAATATGTATAAAAAAGCAGAAGGCCTAAGGATTTGAATGACAATGAATGGTCTAGTTTTGTCAAAGCATGTGACAGGTCTCAGAAGCTAAGCAGTGTGGGTACTGTGATGGGAGACCAGTGTTATATCAGTTGCCACAGTGGGGTGCTAAGTAAGTAAGTATTCTTTATCAACATAGTGCCTCGCTCAGACCAGAGTCACAAAGCGCTTTACAATTGTTATTTTTGGGCATTTGTCTCTCGCTCCGCACAGAGATGGGAGTGAGGGAGCTATGGCCACAAAGTTAATACCCACTTTGTTTAGTAGGATTCAGGTTTGTATTTTTTTTTTTATGGATTGTGGTGGTGGGTCGGTTGGAGAAGCAGCTGATGCATTCTGCAAATCTAAATAAAAAAAAGTTCATGGAGATGCCCCAATAAGGTAGATTTCAGTTCCAACCATGTCTCCAAATGGTTGAGCAACAAAATAACTTCTTACTGGTACTTACTCACTTAAATCAGTATAAATGGGTCCATGAATAGTGAATAGTGATTAGGATCATGTCCAGAGATCTCACCTGTGCCTTTTTGCCGTCTGTGACGACAGAATCCAGGAGGCTGGAGTTACTTTGGACAAATGATTTGAGGACGGGGCTGTCGTCCTCCACAGAGATCTCCCTCCTGGTCCCGTCCATGCCCCGCTCCAGAGCGCGCACGTCCTGCAGAACACTGTCCAGAGACACTGAGGAGACAAACGTGGAATCAGAAACAAACTCCTCTGATATGTTTTTTTAATTCTTTTGTTTTCTCCGTATGGCACTGGCTGTAGATTCATTTGACAAAATAAAATATCTGGATCGGTGAATTAAGGCTAATCCAGGCCCTTTTTTCAATTCAGAGAGAGAGAGAGAGAGAGAGAGACAGAGACAGAGAGAGAGAGAGAGAGAGAGAGAGAGACACACACTGAGAGAGAGAAAGACAGAGAGAGAGAGAGAGACACACAGAGAGAGACAGAGACACACACAGAGAGAGAAAGACAGAGAGAGAGAGAGAGACACACAGAGGGAGACAGAGACACACACAGAGAGAGAAAGACAGAGAGAGAGAGACAGAGAGAGAGACACACACAGAGAGAGAGAGACACACACAGAGAGAGAGACAGAGGCACACACAGAGAGAGAGAGACACAGAGAGAGAGAGAGAGAGAGAGAGAGAGACACACACAGAGAGAGAGAGAGAGACAGAGAGAGAGACACACAGAGAGAGACAGAGACACACACAGAGAGAGAAAGACAGAGAGAGAGACACACAGAGAGAGAGAGAGAGACAGAGAGAGAGACACACACAGAGAGAGAGAGAGAGAGACAGAGAGAGAGACACACACAGAGAGAGAGAGACAGAGGCACACACAGAGAGAGAGAGAGAGACACACACACAGAGAGAGAGACAGAGGCACACACAGAGAGAGAGAGAGACAGAGAGAGACACACACAGAGAGAGAGAGAGAGAGAGGTCTGATCAGCTGTAAATGTTTCCATACCCATCGCCGCCTTGTCCAGGAAGTGCAGCTCTGTGTGAAACGAGTGAAGCGCCGGATACTTCTCCTTAATGGTGTTGACGATGAAGTGAAGCAAAGTCTGTCTGCGATCTGTGGATTTGGTTTCTAAAAGCTTGGAGCACAAACAGTGGCCTTAAACTTACAAGTGAAAAAAACACATGTGATTTTCCCAGAATGCACCAAACCATCAGCGCGGTATCGTCAGCCGCACGCAGCTTCTCTCACCAAGTCCAAGCTCTGCAGTCGGAAGCCGTACGCCGCTCCACGTTTACCGCTGTTCATGTAGTTTCCAAACGCTAAAATGATCTGAAAAAGTTTATTGCAATGATCAATAAATGGTCATTTTTTATTGGGTCGAAGTCACAGTAATTCAAAGTAGAGGAAAAATCCCATAAATATTTTTTTATTCTCAAGCTGAATTTTGATTACACTGCAAAAAGTGATCAAAAATGAGGTGATAATGTTGTGTCTGTGTTTTAAAAAAAAATCTTAATCTGAAATCTTTCGTAAAACAAGATTTTCCCAACAAGACAAAGCCATTTAGTTTTATTTCAAGAACTGTTGGGTTTTCTTCTCATTCCAAGGGACTCATTTCTTGTATTTTTTTAAAACAAGATCATTTTGCTTTGTCCCGTTGGCAAATCTTGTTTTAAGGCAGTCAGAATGTAAGTAAGTAAGTAAGTATTGTTTATTTATATAGCGCATTTTACAAACCAAGGTACAGACCCAAAGAGCTTTACAATGTTCAGAGTCAGATATTGTTCCAATCCTTCCACACACGGAAGCGAGTCCAGAACACACTGGACCATCAAAGCCTCCGACCCAACACCATCCATTCACTCTCTCATTTACACTCAGACCTATTGTGCATGTTTTTAGTGGTAGGGGAAACCGGAGCACCCGGAGGAAACCTACGCAGACACAGGGAGAACATGCAAACTCCACTCAGAAAGGCCCTGTTCTGACCGGGATTCGAACCCATATTCTTCTTGCTGAGAAGCGAGAGTGCTATCTACTCAGCCAGCGTGCCAATGTGCTCAGATTAAGACATACTTTGCTAAATTTGAGCTATTTTTTGACTTTTTTTGGCAGTGTACTTTTCCTATCCTATCATTTAAACCATTTTAGACCCAATTTTTGTGTTTTTTTTTTAAAGTTTCTGTGGTGTGTCACTTTGACCTGAGGATAGCACAACGTCACACAAACCCCTGCCCCCTACCTCTAAAATCTTCTTGAGTTTTATCGATGATTTTATCGACATCGACGCAGCGATCAAAGCATCAAGTTGCTGCAAAAACAGAATGTCACTGCAACGTTTTTAAAGTACAATTATACATATATTTATTCTCATTCACATCACATAGCATGGTCTGTGTCCCGCGGGGCTTACCAGCTGAATGAGCTGGACAAAGTCGGTGAAATTGCCCATAAAGGTGAGCGTGCTGATGCGCTGGGCCAGGCGGGGGATCTTTCCGAATCGCACCATAAAGCGGTCCTCCTCGCTCAGCTCGTCCAGCGGCCTGCCCTCACACTCGTAGTTGTGAATGAGCTTCATCTCGTACTCGGTGGGAATGAATCTCTCCAACAGCTCCAGGAAATCCAGACTCAGGGCTTTCTGGTTGTAACTGTGAGAACAATTGGCATGTGAGACGACACCACCCAGAGAAAGAAACCGTTTTGTTCAAAGTTCAAAGAGCTGCGTACGTCTCTATGGCACAGCAGATGTCTGACGCCGCCATGCCCTCCTTTCGTAGAGTAATAGCCAGGTTCTTGGCCCGGTTTGGTTCCATTAAACACACTTTGCTGGGAGTCTTATGGGCCATTTTTATCCTCATGGTGCCAATCTCTGCAGGGGCAGCCTGGGCTTTGGTCTTGAACTGCTCTTCAAAGGCTGCCATGTTCAGCTCCTAATCAACCATAGAAAGAATGATATTATGTCTCCCTTTGCATTTGTATAATGCAAAATACACTTTTTTGAGTTTTTAACTTGTTACAGCACTGGTCCCTCTTGAAAAAGACCTGAAGTTGTAGATGCATCCACACAAATATTAGAAATTTATCGCACAAAAATATAAGTGCCCCACATGGGTCTAAATGCTCCTGTCTCAGTGTTGTATGAAAAGTACCATTCTACACCTGAGTCCTGGATCTACTGTAAGTCCTGTCTTTCTGAACCATGAATAGTCACATTTGGAGGCCAAAAGTAATGCAATATTATTTCTATGTCCTCTGCATTTGACCCGTCCTTGAGCAGTTCTTGTTCTTCTACCATAGAGCAAGTTTTTATGGTGATGTGTTCGTTCACACCTCGAGAACGCGGTCGTCGTCCAGCTCGTTGAAGATGGTTCCTGTCACTTGGTTGGACTTGAGCTCCTGCCAGTTGAACAACGGCAAGCGGTACTTTGTCTGGATTGTCCTCTTCTTCTTAGAGGCTGAAGTCAACAGGGATCATCAATAGTGGATATTTAGTTAATTTAAAATGTCTGTACCAATAGGCTTTTCTAAGTGTAAATGAGTTTCTATTGATAATATTATATAAAGAAGTACAATGCATCATGTTCTGCTGGGAACAAACCTGTTGGCAGAGCTCCTCCAGCAGGGGGCAGCTGTGGGGCTGGAGGGGCTGTGGGTGGTGGAGGAGGTGCTGGGGGGGATCCTGGAGCAGAGGAAGGAGGAGGAGGAGGTGGTGGAGGAGGTGGAGGAGGAGGAGGAGGAGCAGGAGAGGGTTGGATCTTTTCTGGAACAGCCACTTCCTGTTGTGTTGGTACCGCTGTGACGCCGCCTGCATCTGGCTCATCTTCAACTATGAACGAGTCAAAGGAATATGTTAGAAATGACCGTGAAATGTACTTAAGGGTCAATAACTGCACTGAGGTATTTTATCTCTTTTTAAGGCACTGTGGCTATTCATCCATTAATTCATTCATTTTCTACCCTTTTATTCGTCCATTTCTGGGTCAAGAGGTGGCAATCAGAGCTGCCACCCAATACTCCCTCACTGATCCTCCGGCAGGTGGAGTTAAGTGTCTTGCCCAAGGACACAACGACAGCAGATATGAGTGGGAGCAGTTGGAGTCGGTCTCGTGGAGGGATTGAACCACTTACTTATGGTTTTAATCCTGTGTGTAATTTGAATGTTTTAAGGTTTTTAATGTGATTTAAATCTCTTTGTCTTTGTTTTTTGTTTATATATGTAGATTTTAATGTAAATGTTTGATGCCTGATGTGATTTGGGTCGTGCCGTGTAGAGAAAAGGCACTCTCCAAATGAAAGATTGATTATTATGATGTATCTAATGTGTGTAATAACCTTGCAGGGCAGTAGGGACAGCAGGGACAGCAGGGACAGTAGGGACAGCAGGGACCACGTGGATGTCCAGTTGACCCGATGTAGAGCGCTCCATCCTGAGGAGACCCTGGTCGACCAGAGCCTGGACCCTGAGCTCCAGCTCCCGTAGCACCTGGAGGCTCCTCTCTTTGTCTCTCTCCACTTCTCGCTCACGTTCTCGCTCCAGCTCTCGCTCTCGCTCTTGCCGCTGCAGCGCACTGACCTGAGCGCACGACTCGCGGAGGCTTTCCTACAACACCACAGGCCGCTTCTTTATCGTGGTGTCAGCATGTAGAAAGAGTACGACTATATGTGTGTGTGTGTGAGTGTGTACCTTCAGCAGCTCCACTTCTTTAGTCGCTTGAATCAGTTTCTTTTCCAGATCCGACACTTTCTCTGCAGATTCCTTTTCGTTTTCTTGCAACCTTGTATTTAGCTGGAGGAAAAAAAAGATAAATAAGAAAATAAATAAAATGAATGTGCATAAATATTGAACATGAAAACAGTGTGCAAAGAAACACACAAGTCTTGTCTTTTTATCAGACAAAGATGTAGAAAAACACTGTGACCTCTGGAATCTAGTGGATAACTTTATTTGTGTAGACATTTGTTCTTGATTGTTTCACTAAATTCCATAAATGGCACAAATGAAGCAAAGTGATGGAGATTACAGTTAACACTAGTAAACATCAGTTCTGTTAAATGTGAAACATGTGCCATTTAAAGCTCAGAACAGACAAAGATCTTTGTAAATGTGGGTTGTTCCATCAAGTCTGATGAACTAAAGTGACCGTCTTACTAAAAGGTTTGGACACACCTGGTCTAGAGCAATATTGAAAATACACTGATGGAACCATTCAGACCATTCAGTGAAAGAGAGGCTGCATTAATTGAAAAGCAAACACATATTTTAGTGCATGTGTAAAAACCTGTATGATATATTTAGTCAACTTCACAGTGTTATAATATTATAAATGTGTCTTATGTTCACCTGTGTGTTGTGCTCCTGTAGCTCCTCCATGTGCTCCAGCAGAGCGTTCTTAGTCTCTGCGTCCTCCAGCAGCGCTCCCACGTCAAACACATTGTCCAGATAGGCCTGAATCTGAACCTGCAGCCGGTCACTCTCCGTGAACTTCAGGGACTGCTGCAGAAAAGCATCAGTCAGAACCGTTTCATGTCAGACGCAGTTATTACAGATGCCAGACTCGCCTCCAGGTGTTCGTCCAGACCGTGGTGCGTGAACTCATGCTGCAGATGCACTCTGAAGTTCATGTTCTCCACAGAGTGCACCACAATGTTAATGAACTGCATACACGCCACCTAGTGGAGGAAACGGGTCATTACAGGGATCTCACATATGACGATTCAAGTGAAGGCAAAAAGGAACACATTCTCAATTTACAACTTTGCAGCTGATGCTTGTGCTTTTGTATGAACATTATCAAAACATATTCATTATTTTAATCCATAAAAGGCCAACTGTCAATTGTTTTGTAGCCGAGATGTGGATTTTTAGAATATTTTGACTTCTGGTCTCTGTGGTTTCGTTTTACTTTAACTTTCTGTCTTGATTGTCTGCCCCGCCCTGAGGTGCTTCACTTGTGTCTCTCTGTTTCTATTTGTACCTGTGCTCTTCCATATTTGTTGCTGGTCCATTGTCTTTGTCCGTCTGTTTTCCTGATTCCTGAGGTTTTTTTTTTACCTTGGATTTTAGTTTTTCATCATCAAATCATTATTATTTCATTCTGACAATTTGGGTCGTTCCTTCACTTCACCGCATGACACTAGATCAGGGGTCTCCAACCTGTGGCTCGGGAACTAACAGTAGCTCGCCAAAGGATTTAGAATTGAACACACGATCCTGAATGAACATTACATATCTATTATACGTATAAACATAGGGTTATACAGTATTATGGTAGATTTTACATGTGTTTTTCAGATTTTTACAACGGCTGCAAAAAGGTGTAGCTCTCTGCCTCTTCTTTTGTGTAAGACCCCTGCACTAAATATGAACATGAAAGTCCATAAGTGTGTGTCTGCATGTGTGACGTGTATGCCTCATTGCTGTTCAGCCTGCATCTGTATTGTGCGTGTTTTCTCCGCCACAGTTGATGAAGCCCGAGCCAATTAAAATACTTTGCATACATATGGCTGCGTCTGGTCATATCTCACTCCCTGCATTTGTTCAACTCAATGCCATTACACAGCTGTATCATTAACGCTGTCATTCTGCTAATTGCTTTTTCTGTTTTTCTTTACGGAGTAATTAGTGCTAACCTCCACAGTGAGTGGGAATGCATCAGAATGGTTGGTGATGTTCTTTGCCGTGGTGACAAAGGCCGTAAGTGCGTAATGACCACATCGAAATGCAAAAGCAGACTACCATGAAATCTATGTTGTTGTCCTCGTTGTAGAAGAACTCCATGAGCTTCTCGAATCTTCTTTTCTCGCCACAAACCTGAAACAAACACACACGGTTTATTGTCGTCTTCAGTGTGAAATGATAAATGACTTGAGTGTAGCACCATATGTAAAATATCTGTTAACAAAATCCCTCTCAGCGGTTACAGCTGGTGTTTTATCTGAACGACACATGGTTATATACTGTGGCTATACTGGGCAAGACAAGGCAAGTGTATCTATATAGGTTCATACACAATGCAACTGAAGGTGCTTAACAAAACAAGATGGAAGAATACTCACAGAATTAATATTTTTAATAACCACAGAACATTAAAAAGAGTGAAGAAAAATATGTCCTATACACAGCTAAACAGAGCAGTTTTTAACCTGAATTTAAACATTGTCGGAATAGAAGCCTGTTTCACATTTTCAGTTCGATTAAAGCTGCATGAATCTGAAATACTGACTCTCCATTTTTAGTCCGAGAGGCCAGTCCCTGTGCTCCTAAGAGTCCCAGCAGGAGGACAGTCCCTGTGCTCCTCAGAGCCCAGTCCCTGTGCTCCTAAGAGTCCCAGCAGGAGGCCAGCAGGAGGCCAGTCCCTGTGCTCCTCAGAGTCCCAGCAGGAGGCTAGTCCCTGTGCTCCTCAGAGCCCAGTCCCTGTGCTCCTAAGAGTCCCAGCAGGACGCCAGCAGGAGGCCAGTCCCTGTGCTCCTCAGAGTCCCAGCAGGAGGCTAGTCCCTGTGCTCCTCAGAGTCCCAGCAGGAGACCAGTCCCTGTGCTCCTCAGAGTCCCAGCAGGAGACCAGTCCCTGTGCTCCTCAGAGTCCCAGCAGGAGGCTAGTCCCTGTGCTCCTCAGAGTCCCAGCAGGAGTCCAGTCCCTGTGCTCCTCAGAGTCCCAGCAGGAGGCTAGTCCCTGTGCTCCTCAGAGTCCCAGCAGGAGACCAGTCCCTGTGCTCCTCAGAGTCCCAGCAGGAGACCAGTCCCTGTGCTCCTCAGAGTCCCAGCAGGAGGCCAGTCCTTATGATCCTTAGAGTCTGAGTTTGTTCATTTGGCCTAAACATGTCGTGGATGTACACATGAAGCCGGAGCAGAGACCTGAGAACTGGACTAATGTAATGGTACTTCCTGGTTTTAGTCAGGACTCGAGCTGGAGAGTTTTGAAAATACTTCCGCTGTTTTACAACTGGTTTGGAAAGACCTGTCAGAATCAGAATCATTTTTATTGCCATGTAAGTAACAGGAAGTCACAGACAAGGAAATTGCAGAACGTTACAGTAGTCTAACCTTTTTTTTTAAATGATTTATCATCTTTTTTATTATTGTTTTTGTTTGTCTCATTATGCATTTATCACCGTAAACTGAAAATCACCCCTTGCCTTTATTATCCGTCATTTTGTTATTCTACATATTAACAATACACACACATTATCTGGCTTATTATTATTCTGGCTTTTTTCAGAAGGTAAAAATCTGCAAATGTTTAATACTATCCATTTTTTTCATCTCAATCCCATATACTTTTTACATGTGTTTTATTATTGTCGCTCTGTTATTGAGTTTCTCTGACAGCACTTCCCTCGTCGATCAACAGACTCCATCAAAACTCTTACATAACTCTTCAGAACCCGGAAGCTTCTTGTCACATTGCTCCTAATCGCGATTATTTATTGTTTTTCCGCAGCAGAATTCCCATGTGTTTCTCTGCTCTGTTCGCTCTGCTCGGCCTCCCCCTTCTGACCACTCATGTCCTCTAAATAATGCAACAACCTGAGCGCTCTGACAGGCCGCACAAGCCAAAACAAAGCCCCCGTCCTGCTTCAGAGAGACACATGATCCAGCAGCTGGCCCCCATGCCCACCGCCTCCCAGCTACCCCCAACAAGCACTCTCTCTTCTCTACCACCTCTGTACCATCCCAGAGAGCGTGCACTTACAGACTACAGCAGCTTCACACCAACACTTACTACAGGGACGTAACACAGAGAAACAATGTCAGAATGAGGATGATACTGGAGGTATATGATGGTGAAAATGGGGATATTAGGAGTCCACGATGTAAACTAATACATGACGCTCATTACATGGAGAGTGACATATATGAAGCCACCATTTGTTATTATGTCGATTGATTCACAGCTGTAAAAACCCAGATACAAAAAGGACTCTAAGCCATTATCATTAACAGACAAAGGCTTTAGCATAAGTCACTGCTTGTAATGAGTGTGTATCATATATTGATTTCACATTTTAGGTTGAATGACAGAAACAAATCAACTATTGAACAAAAGGGGAGGAGGAGCGAGGTTAATCCATTGTTTTAATAAAGCTTCGTCCTGTCCAGACCTGTTTAACCTTAGCTTGAACACAGAGAATGCCTGTTTTGGGCCTTACAACGTGATATACATGCAAACTGTGGGAAACTTTGTACAAACACATGTGAAAATTGCCTCTCGTACATGTGTGTATGTATGCTAGTTTAAGCTGCCTAGGATCAGAGTGTACTTCTTTACATATTGTACATAAAAAAAAAATTCTGTGGATGGTTTGTAATTTCAAAGGAGCCACATGGAGGCAGAAGAGGGCAGTAAATTGTGCTGATCCCACTCCTGGATAAAATGTTATCTATTTTCTTTCTTTAAAAAAAACCTGCACTGATTGTCTCATTTTTATCTGAAGGTATAGAGGAAAGAACCGCCCTCTCCACTTTTTGAACAAAACTCTCTGGTCTTATTTGTCAAGAACGCATCAGCAGAATGATTGACAATTAGGAGGAGAGAAACACAGGTCTGCACGAGACTCGAACCAGCAACCTTCAACACTGTGTGATATGAGCTCTACCCACTGTAAGGTAGATGTATAAGTTGTAAGAGAAATGCAGGCGTAACATTCTGCTTTGGCTTCTGCAGTTGTCTGAGCTCGGAGCCACAGAAGCTCAGAGTGCGTGGGTGTGATACAGCGCTTCAAAAAGGATCTCCCGATTCACAGCGGGGCCGCGGGGGACCACAGTTTGAGTCTGCGGCGCTCCTGACATCCCTGACATTTACTAATAATAGCAGTTCCTAGTCCACGTTCTGCCACTGACGCTGAAGCCACCGAAGCCCATTAACCAGCGACAGTTGCTGCTTTGTCAGGAAGAGATGAGAGAGAGAAGGAAGGGGAGGTCACAGGCGGCTGCTGACGGTGACGCCCGCATGTGGAGGTTTAGTCTGGCTCTGGGACAACTGGGCAGCAGCTGAGGGGCAGGTGGGCCGGGGGTTCCCTAAACATAACACTGAGTATGCTCCGAGAATCCGAGCAGCTTCAGGTCTGTGGTTGTACCAGTATTAGAACAAACAATGTCCTGCATCCCTTTGGATCCTCTCTCTTCCAGCACAACAACAGAGTGGTCTGTAAACGGCTCTATTCTTGTAAAGTCGTAAATGTGAGCTAATAAAGCAGTGACAATATCATGATGAAGCAGCGGTGAAGTTAAGAGCTGTAATAAAGTCACACTATTGAGATCCATTAAGCCCAGTTTGATGTGTTTTCATGAACTGTTTGTAAAGTTAGTGAAAGAATATTGTTTATACAGTGGCCTCGCACCAAAGTACATCTGTGACATGTTTGTGTCATATGAACCAACTCAGACTGGCCTCCTGCTGGGACTCTGAGGAGCACAGGGACTGGCCTCCTGCTGGGACTCTGAGGAGCACAGGGACTGGCCTCCTGCTGGGACTCTGAGGAGCACAGGGACTGGCCTCCTGCTGGGACTCTGAGGAGCACAGGGACTGGCCTCCTGCTGGTCCCAGAGTCAGGACTAAACATGGGTAGGTTTATAGATTTTGATATGACATTAATTACTGAACCTACTGTATCACCATATGCATTTGTTCTGCTAAAGAGGAAGCTAGCATGCGATCAGTAAAAGGCACATGGCAGATTGTTTTTCTGACCTCCTTAAAGTTGTCAAAAGCGGACAGGATGATGTCATGTCCTCCCCTCACGAGACAGACAGCCGCCAGCAGCTCCAGCACCAGCGCTTTGGTTCTGATGGAGACATGAGCAAAGAGTGTTCAGGGAGTGTCCGTCTCTCATCAGTAAATACTAAACACATACTGTAGCAGTGGATGTCACATTACCGGGGGTTCCTGTTGTTGAGGCTCAGGGTGATCTCATTCACGCAGCAGGGATGAGTCATCACCAGGTTAAAGCCCGACTGACAAAACACACACATTTACAGCTGTCAATCACAGCGAAGAGACCACAAACAAAAGTCTGATACATCTCTACTATGTTTCACCTGCATGAGTATTATAATGTCTTAGGAAAAGGACATATTGAACTGTGTAAAAACGTATTAGATCATTATTATTATGTTTTATTATTATTATTATCATTATTAGAAGAAGAAGATATACTTTATTGATCTCACAATGGAGAAATTCAGTTCGATGGATAATCGATGGATTTGGAGAAGGCGTTCGACCGTGTTCCCTCAGGGTGTTCTTTGGGGGGTTCTCCGGGAGTACGGGGTCCGGGGTCCTCTGCTGAGGGCCGTTCGGTCCCTGTATGACCGGAGCCAGAGCTGTGTTCGCATTGCCGGCAGTAAGTCAGACCTGTTCCCGGTGCATGTTGGCCTCCGCCAGGGCTGCCCTTTGTCACCGGTTCTGTTCACTGTATTTATGGACAGAATTTCTAGGCCTACAACATGCACTGGGGCGGTTTGCAGCCGAGTGTGAAGCGGCTGGGATGAGAATCAGCACCTCCAAATCTGAGGCCATGGTGCTCGACCGGAAAAAGGTGCCTTGCCCTCTGCAGGTGGGTGGAGAGGTCCTTCCTCAAGTGGAGGAGTTCAAGTATCTCGGGGTCTTGTTCACGAGTGAGGGAAGGATGGAGCGTGAGATTGACAGGCGGATCGGTGCAGCGTGCGCAGTGATGCGGTCGCTGTATCGGACCGTTGTGGTAAAGAGGGAGCAGCGTCTGCAGTCAGAGCTGTATCGGACCGTTGTGGTAAAGAGGGAGCTGAGCCGAAAGGCAAAGCTCTCGATTTACCGGTCAATCTTCGTTCCCTCCCTCACCTATGGTCATGAGCTTTGGGTAGTGACCGAAAGAACGAGATCGCGGATACAAGCGGTCGAAATGAGCTTCCTCCGCAGAGTGGCTGGGCGCTCCCTTAGAGATAGGGTGAGGAGCTCAGTCACACGGGAGGAGCTCGGAGTAGAGCCGCTGCTACTCCACGTCGAGAAGAACCAGTTAAGGTGGCTCGGGCATCTGTTCAGGATGCCTCCTGGACGCCTCCCTGGGGAGGTGTTCCGGGCACGTCCCACCGGGAGGAGGCCCCGGGGAAGACCTAGGACACGCTGGCCTGGGAAAGCCTTGGGGTCCCCCCGGACGAGCTGGAGGAAGTGTGTGTGGATAGGGAAGTCTGGGCGTCTCTGCTTAGACTGCTGCCCCCGCGACCCGGCAACGGATGAAGCGGAGGAAAACGGACGGACGGACGGACGGATAATCATATACACATATCACATCAAGGCATGCAGCGTCCTGTTACCTCCACTCCTTATAGGCAAAGGGAGGTACAGTGTCTTGCCCAAGGACACAACAGCAGCAGAGACAGCAGTGGGAGTCGGTGCAGAAGGTCTTGCGGTGGGCTCGAACCCACAACCTTCAGGCTCAAAGGCTAATGCTCTACCAACCGAGCCACTGTTGGACATTTATCAACATTTATCGACATCGGTCTCTGTCTCTTATGGACCAATGTCTCTATATGTTTGATTCTCTGCTGTGTGTAGGAGAATTCTATGGTTTTGTAAAGTCTTCGGAGAACACTTCTGTTGTGATTTAGGTCCGTGCAAGAATAAACTGAATTAAATTGAATTGAATTACACAAAAGATGATCCAAATCTCCTGCTGGGACCCTGAGTCAGGATACGAAGGTTTGTGGATTCTTGACCTGCATGAGTATTATACTGGCAATGAAAAGGCCTTATTGAACTGTGTAAAAGCGTATTAGATTACTGTTATTATTATGAACATTTATCAACATTATTTGACATCAGTCTCTGTCTCTTATGGACCAATGTCTCTATATGTTTTTAATCATTGCATTTGTTGTGTTTGATTCTTGTGTTGGCAAATTCTATGCTTTTGTAAAATCTGCACTACTGCTGTGATTCAGGTCTATACAAGAATTAACTGAATTAAAATGGATTGAATTACAGTAAATATGATACAAATAGATCAGATGAATGTGCGTGATTGAAGTCCAGCTCTAAAGGCACAGTTACTGTAAAGCTCTAATGTGACGTCTCATTCATCCCTTTATCCTCTGCATTGAGTCCTGGTATGGGTGTGGCTCAGGGAGAGAGCTCCGGGAGCAGGCAGCAGGTGCAGTACCTGGTAGTTCATGATGGCACGTAAACACATGATGCACAGGTGCGTGTCGTCCTTCTGGCTCACCACCCGGGACGTCCTCAGGGCTTTCCTGTGTGCAGTTCAGTCTGACAGTGAGAAACGCTGCTCTTACAAACCTGGCCTGTCATAACCACACTGCTGCTGAGACACACCCGACGGCTGCTTTCTGACCGTGATCCAGGCGCTAGAAAGTACAGCCTCCAACAGAAGCGTTACTATTGTTAGCTACTTTTAGAATTATGTAACTACTTGTGTTGTTTGTATGAATGGACACCTGAATTTCTCCTACAGGGATCAATAAAGTCTCTCTCTCTCGCTCTAAAGTCTCTCTCTCTGTCTGTGTCTCTCTCTCTCTCTCTCTGTCTCTCTCTCTCTCTCTGTCTCTCTCTGTGTGTCTCTCTCTCTCTGTGTCTCTCTCTCTGTGTCTCTCTCTCTATCTCTCTCTCTGTGTCTCTCTCTGTGTGTCTCTCTCTCTAACTCTCTCTCTCTCTGTGTGTCTCTCTCTCTCCCTGTGTGTCTCTCTCTGTGTCTCTCTCTCTGTGTCTCTCTCTCTATCTCTCTCTCTATCTCTCTCTCTGTGTCTCTCTCTGTGTGTCTCTCTCTCTATCTCTCTTACTCTCTCTCTCTCTCTCTGTGTCTCTCTCTCTCCCTGTGTGTCTCTCTCTGTGTCTCTCTTTGTGTGTCTCTCTGTGTGTGTCTCTCTCTCTCTCTCTGTCTTTCCCTCTCTCTGTCTCGCTCTGTGTCTCTCTCTCTATCGCTCTGTCTCTCTCTCTCTCTGTGTCTCTCTCTCCCTGTGTGTGTCTCTCTCTCTGTCTCGCTCTGTGTCTCTCTCTGTGTGTGTGTGTCTCTCTCTCTGTGTGTTTCTCTCTCTGTGTGTCTCTCTCTCTCTGTTTTTCTCTCTCTCTCTGTGTCTCTCTCTCTCTCTCTCTCTCCCCTTTCTTTTATGAATAAAGTTAGTATTGATTGGGCACGTACGTTATCAGTGGCTTCTCACATCAGACATTTCTCACATTCACACATGAACCACAAAACTGAAGCCACACACAGGATGTCTCAGTGACACCGAGACCTGTGCTGTGAGCCTGCTCCGTCTTGTTTTGACTACGATTACAAACAGTTTCCAGAGCAAAAATGAAACAACTCTATACTGTATATTATTTATCAACATGCATCAGTAATGTAAAGCAAGAAAACAATTTGTGTACAATGTTGTAGAATTTGGGGTAAAAACAGTGTTGTGTCTGTGGGTTTGATTAAGATTTAGAGATCCTTTATTTGTCCCACAGAAATGTCGGTGTTGCATCATCAGTTACAGAAAAGTGGGAATGAGCACACAGCACAAGATAAATGAACTAAGCTCTATTTTAAACTCTCTACTAAAGAAAATATCATTAAATACAATCTCTAGCTTTGGCATATTAAGGAAGCAGTCTATAATCTGTAAAAATAGCAAAAATGAAGTACAAAATATCTGACTTTAGCATACTGTAATTGGTAAAAGATTCTGATAATTTGACTTGGTTTGGTCCTTACCTAACTGTGAAGCCTTTGTTGGCCTTTGAGGATGTGTGAGAGGGTGAGTTTGTGGCACTTCTGCTCAGATCTTCCACCGACTTATCGACCGATTTCACTTTCTCTGTGGAGACCGCGCCATTGTCCAGAGCATCTCCATCGCACCTGCGCAGAGTGACGTGGAATATACATATACATGATAAAATACTAATGTTGCATGTATAAGAATTGGCTTGTACATAGCAGCACTGTGGGCGTGAGACAGGTACTCCACCAACACATCCAGACCCTGGTTCTCCTCGTTCAGAAACTCCTGAGCCCAACTGAAACATCCAATCAAGTTTATTTACACAACTGGACTGCATGTAATAGATGCTTTAAGTTTAATGGTAATTATGGTTTTACCCGATGTGATTTGTCCTGAGGGAGATCTCCAGCTCTCTCAGCACCTGCGTGGACTCCGGGACACGCCGTTTAAACTGCAAGAAATAAAATCTTGTTCATATATACTACACAGAATATGAGTCAAGAAAGTATTTTGAAATGAATTAATTTTGACTTTCTAAAAAACTCAATGGAATAAGAAGCAAGTAACACCTGAATGTCAAGACTAAACAGGTCATGATGCAGTAATGTTGTGTTTATGGGGGAATGGGACCGAGCTTTAGGTCCGGGGCCAAGAGAAAAAACGATATGGCTTTCACTGAATCATATCAAATTGCTTGGAAATAAATCACATTTGATCAGATCAGAGATTTAATCCGTGTTGAAAAGTAGCAGATACATGTACTAACACTTACAGCAAGGATTCTGGTTTGTCCGATGTTATTGTTATGTCCAAATTGAAATAAATAAAATAGATTAAATTGAAAATGTTCTGTATCTAGGTATGAATTATATCGCAGCCTAAGGTAAGTATTGTACTGTGTCGTATCTTACCTGTAAACTCTAAAACATAACCAGGAACAAATATTATTATTGTATTTTTTCAGAATTAATCCGAACTTATTTTGTTGCCATTGTTAGCAACAGGAAGTCACAAACCAGGAGTTTGCTGAGAAGTCATGCATAAAATATCTTAATAAAATATATAGTGTATGTACAATAGTATAGAAAGTGCTCTTATCTTATCTGAACTTCCAATGCAACTTGAGCTACAGCCTTCATCAGTCATGTGTGCACCACCTGTCACTGAGGCCCACTGCCCCCCCCCCCCCCCCCCTCCAAGAGTCAGAGAAAACCAGTAGATACAGCTAGGGTCAGAATCATCTCTTCATTCAGAGATGTCCATTTGCCTCCTTCACAACTTCAAGATTAATATTGGAACTGGGTGTTGAGTGGATCCCACCCACCAGCTTATGCCATCCATCTTTTGTGTGTTTTTTTTTTGCATGTCTTAATCTAATTTCACTTTTATAACTTGTTTGCACTGAGATCCAAAGCAATTTCCTAGTTTGTGACATGATAGGCTACTGAAGAGGCGGTGATGGGGAGGAGGTGGGTTGCTGCTCGAACAGAAGTATTTTTGAATGCAGCCATGAAGTGATGATGAGCTCAGGTGTGTTACTGAGCGGCTGAGGAGGAGGGAGGAGTCAGTGTGGAGGGAGGAGTCAGTGTAGAGGGAGGAGTCAGTGTAGAGAGAGGAGTCAGTGTAGAGGGAGGAGTCAGTGTAGAGAGAGGAGTCGGTGCAGAGGGAGGAGTCAGGGTAGAGGGAGGAGTCAGTGCAGAGGGAGGAGTCAGTGTAGAGGGAGGAGTCAGTGTAGAGGGAGGAGTCAGCGCAGAGGGAGGAGTCAGTGTAGAGGTAGGAGTCAGTGCAGAGGGAGGAGTCAGTGCAGAGGGAGGAGTCAGTGTAGAGGGAGGAGTCAGTGTGGAGGGAGGAGTCAGTGTGGAGGGAGGAGTCAGTGTAGAGGGAGGAGTCAGCGTAGAGGGAGGAGTCAGTGTGGAGGGAGGAGTCAGTGTAGAGGGAGGAGTCAGTGTAGAGGGAGGAGTCAGTGTAGAGGGAGGAGTCAGTGTAGAGGGAGGAGTCAGTGTAGAGGGAGGAGTCAGTGCAGAGGGAGGAGTCAGTGTAGAGGGAGGAGTCAGTGCAGAGGGAGGAGTCAGTGTAGAGGGAGGAGTCAGTGTAGAGGGAGGGGTCCGTGCAGAGGGAGGAGTCAGTGTAGAGGGAGGAGTCAGTGTAGAGGGAGGAGTCAGTGTGGAGGGAGGAGTCAGTGTAGAGGGAGGAGTCAGCGTAGAGGGAGGGAGGAGTCAGCGCAGAGGGAGGAGTCAGTGTAGAGCGAGGGGTCAGGTAGAGGGGAGGGTCAGTGTAGAGGGAGGAGTCAGTGTAGAGGGAGGAGTCAGTGCAGAGGGAGGAGTCAGCGTAGAGGGAGGAGTCAGCATAGAGGGAGGAGTCAGTGTAGAGGGAGGAGTCAGTGTAGAGGGTAGAAGTTAGTGTAGAGTCGGTGTAGAGGGAGGAGTCAGTGTAGAGGGAGGAGTCAGTGTAGAGGGAGGAGTCAGTGTAGAGGGAGGAGTCAGTGCAGAGGGCAGAGTCAGCGTAGAGGGAGGAGTCAGCGCAGAGGGAGGAGTCAGCGTAGAGGGAGGAGTCAGTGCAGAGGGCAGAGTCAGTGTAGAGGGAGGAGTCGGTGTAGAGGGAGGAGTCAGTGTAGAGGGAGGAGTCAGTGTAGAGGGAGCAGTCGGTTAGAGCGAGGGGTCAGGTAGAGGGAGGGGTCAGCGCAGAGGGAGGAGTCAGTGCAGAGGGAGGAGTCAGTGCAGAGGGAGGAGTCAGTGTAGAGGGAGGAGTCAGCGCAGAGGGAGGAGTCAGTGCAGAGGGAGGGGTCAGCGCAGAGGGAGGAGTCAGTGCAGAGAGAGGAGTCAGTGTGGCAGGCATAACGTCTCTTTGGTCTTCCAGTATGAATTTACACTTAAACTTCATTAAAAATAATTCTATTTTGATTCTGATAATCAAGAAAGAAGAACTCATCTCAAATACTGTGTGAGTTGTAGTAAAACAAGACAGCTTAGGTCTCTTCATACACCATGAGCCAGAACAGCCCAGTCTGTAGTAAAGTGTACACATAGTACCTTACGGCTGACCCCTCCATGGTCCAGATTACTCCTGAGTTTGTCCAAATATGTAGATGGAGGATTCTTGACCTGAACTCGCTCCTGTAATAAAACACAAAAGCAAACAGCCATGATTACACAATGTTGTGCGGCTGCAGAGTGGGTCAGAGCCCTGATTGTTGTATTTGATCAAACAAACAGATAACAGTCGCCTGCAGGACACAAAGGCCACATCAGAGCATCGGAACATCCTTTATCCGTGGACGGCAGAAACACAGCCTCCATAATGGACCTTGCTCCTGTTGCTACGGTCCACATGGATCATTAATACACCATCAGCCCAACTGCAGCCGCGTGTGGATGTGCAAAGAAGATTAGGATATTTTGTATTCAACAAGAAATATACTTAACCGAAAACCTTGGACATATACAAATGAATATTCACTCATGTATTTATCCCTAACCACAAGTGCATTATCAAACGTATGCTTGGTGTGTTTTTCCAGTTTGACTCTTACATGGTCACAGATCAGATCCCACTTCTTCTCACTGTCGTACACGCTCAAGATCTTCACCTTGTCCGGAGGAAGATTCATGGTGTTCTGAAAGATTAGAACAAATACAAATAAAACAATTGCTTTTGTTGTTCTACAATTTGACAATCACTGGTCACGCAACACTTTGTAACAGCAAGGGCTCATTTCTGACAATCTCCCAGTTTGTCCTTCAGAGATGACGGGACACAGTTTGAGTCACAAGCCGTGATGAAGCTACAAAATAATTCATGTGTAAAGTAATGGATAAGTATTACCCAGACACTCATTCAGGGGTGTCCAAACTTTTAAGTTAGAGGGCCGCTTTAGCCCACTAGACTAGTCCAGGGGCCAACGTCACGGACTAAAAAATTGTCTTGACTGACATCGGGCTGGTCTGAGCTTTAAAATGATCTATGATGGAGCTGAAGTTGGCTGAATGACAAATGTTTACCGTCTCACCAGCTCACAAGGCAACGGCTGAATTCCAGACGTACTGGGCTTTAGAATGAGATACGCCATGTCTATATTCTGAGCTGAAGTTGGATGGATGACACAGTGAACGTGTATTTATGATCTCAAAGACTACTGTGGGTTAGCACGGCAGAGAGGGCCACATAAAATGACACCGAGGGCCGCAATTGGCTCCCGGGCCTGAGTTTGGACAAGCCTGACCTAGACACTCATTCAGGGGTGTCCAAACTTTTCAGCTTTAGATCAGTTTGTCCAGGGCCCGAAAACATGGATTATGAACCTGTTTGGACTGGATTGAGGCTGTTCTGAGCTTCATAATGGGATGTGTTATGTCCATATTGATTGACCGACGAGGTAAAGCACGACTAAGATTAAGTTAAGCGATTGATTATTTATCCCACAGTGGGGAAATGTCAGTGTTGCATCACCGGTCACAGAACAGTGGGAACGAGGAGCACACAGTACTAGATAATTTGGTGGAGCTGAAGTGGGCTGGATGACAAGTATCTCTATGGCTACTTTAGGTTAGCGGCAGAGGGCCACATACATGACCCAGGCCCTGATTTGGACACATTTTCACCTATTGATCCAAAAATGAAAATAATAAAAACTACATTTGAGCAAATATCACAAAAGAGAGACATAAACAAGCAATGGAACTGTCATAAAATCTATACTTAACTAGTTCCTTTTTCAGACAGAAAAGTGAAAAAAAGCGGATCACCCTCACTCAGCCAATCAGCTCTCTCCTTCCTACAGGTATATAACATGTTTTATATAAAGATGGAGAAGTTATTTGCAACATTTGGCTTTTAAAAGACAAAATGAAGTACAAAGTTTGGTACCGCAGCTTTGAGAGGGACACATGGACTCACAGTATTTGGAATCCTCAGGTAAAGAAACATTATTTTCTCGTTTCCTGACAGTAACACACAAATCAGTATTTCTTGTGTGACAGACTCATGTTTCTTGCACAGTGGGCCACAGTGTATTTTGTTTGTCTCATAATGTGACCACTGACCCTTATCGCTGCGGTCACTTTTTCTGCCTGCTCAGTCGGATGTGTTCCAAGAGGAGATTTTGTGAGCCCAGCCGCATTCCGCAAGAAAAGAAAAAAAAAACCTGTCCTTGGAAGTCTTTGGAAATGTTTTAATAAGCGATTAGAAGACACTGTCACGCTCCCACGTTTACCTTTAGTGCCGTCCTACATCCACGAAGGAAGGCGCTAAAAATAACCCCCACTTTTCAAATTCAGATTGGGCTGCTCCGGGTCCTTCGCCGACACTGGTTTTGGCCTCGCTTCCAATGACGCACTGAAACTTTTGCTGTTAAGTACTTTGCCAGGTCAAACTACTACTACAGTCTGTTCAAAAATATTTATACTTTAGTTTTACATGGAAAGGTACCGAGGTGGCAGCTGACAAAGTACTTTTCCCTTTGCATTTGTACTTTACTTGAGTATTTCTATTTCTTTGGCAATTTCCTAAATTGACCTTAACAAGTTTCTCTAAACCACGCTTCTTAATGCTTTTTCATTAATCCAGTGGTTAGCCATGCTTCTAAATGCATTGATAAAAGTTCAACCTGATTAGCCATGCTTCTAAATTAATCCATACAGGTTCTAAGTAGGTCCTTGCACATATGTTCATTAACACAGGTTTTAAGTGGATACATCATTACTTCTAAGTCCATGAATCAGGTGGTTAGCCATGCTTCTAAATGCATTCATATAAATTCAACCTGATTAGCCATGCTTCTAAATTCATCCATACAGGTTCTAAGTAGGTCCATGCACATATGTTCATTAATACAGGTTTTAAGTGGATACACTGTATATCTATGCTTCTAAGACCACGAATCTGGTTGTTCGCCATGCTTCTAAATGCATTCATACAAGTTCAACTTGATTAGCCATGCTTCTAAATGAATCCCTACAGATTCTAAGTAGGTCCATGCATGCAGATATGTTCATTAATACAGGTTTTAAGTGGGTATACTGTATCTATGCTTCTAAGTCCATGAGTCCGGTGGTTAGCCATGCTTCTAAATGCATTCCTACAAGTTCAACCTTGTTAGCCATGCTTCTAAATGCATTCCTACAAGTTCAACCTTGTTAGCCATGCTTCTAAATGAATCCCTACAGGTTCTAGATATGTAGATGCATATATATGTTCATTAATACAGGTTATAGGTTATAAAGCCTATAATTGTAGGTCCCTGAATCCAGTGGTTAGCCATGCTTCTAAGCTCAGTAGCATACCAGCATTTGAATGTCTTCTACAACGTTATAGTAATTTCAGTGTTTTACAAGCAACTATAACTGTTTGATGAATTATTATCATATACTGTCTCTTATAAAAATGCATGAAATACTTTTTTATTAGCGACATATAAAAAGCAAATACATCTGAAAAAGTGGCGACAGTGAAGAGGGTGCAGCAGCAGCAGCAGCAGCAGGGGATCAATAGTGTTGGCGGACTGAGTGTGGATCTGATAAATCACGGCTGATGAATGACGCTGAGAGCTCAATACGCTGAAGTCGGGTTAGCTCTGCTGCGTCAGGCTCAGGCTCACGGCATGAATCATTTCTGAAATATACTGCTGTAAAATCGTGGGCGGTTTATGATTCATGAAGTCTCCCGTTGCTGACACTGGACCAATTGACATGTTCTCCGAGTGGCCTGGAGGACCTCTTCAGACCGAAACGCACAAAAAACATTACATCTAGTTCCAATTTCTTCAATATTTATGACACATATCACTAAGCATTTTTAATATTTGGAGATGAGGATTTAGAGATTGAAATACCATTCTAAAGATGAGGTATTTTGCCTCTAGCTGGGTTGACATTTTGCGCAGACAGATCTATTTTATTGTTTTATTAGTGTGATTCATAGATATTGTAAATAATGCCCGTCTTTGAGCATATTTGACAAGTTCATATATATGCAAAAAACTGTATTTGTGTTTCGAAAATGTGTCTAAAAGTTCTCTTCCTAATGCTATAGTCTTAAACATGCTTTGTTATTGGCTGTAAATTTCAGATTCATTTATTTGCCATTTGCAGTAAAACCCCATTGGAAAAACTGTGCAAGACTACCCCAGTGTGCACCAGACAAAGACGACACACACCAGAGCTCTTGCCACGGCGCCATCTTCACGGCGCCATGCAGTTTGAAAGAAATTGCTGTAAAAAGGGTAAAACTTTAGCTTATGGCACTGAAATAGATCAGGCTTTTCACAAGAATACATGAAAAAAGGCAATTTATAAACATTTCAAACATGTTTTTAATGGCACTTATCTGTTTATTTCCATTTCCTACACCATAAACAGACAGTCACTCCTGTGTGTAATATTATTTTTATCTAGTCCATAGTCATCTCAACTCAGCTCTATTTCACGTTCGCTGGAGACACATTCGCATTTAGAAGTCCACCCACTGCTGCTCTCCCTGTTGAGAAATATGCAAAGTGTTATGTAAAACAGTGAAAAAAAAACCCCGGCCTGGTGCTTCGAGTCTCTCTGGAGTCTCTGTTATTAACATAGAGAAACACACAGTTGTAATGGCATTGGAAAGCCCACTCGCATCTCTGCTGTGATCTGCGTCTTTACCTCTGCAGCAGGAGATCAGCGGCAGTTTCTATTAGTATGCAGACTGGGTGTATTTTTTTTTTTTCGCCGACTCAGCAAAAGACTTAAAAGAAGAAGAAGACGCTGTAAAGAAAAAAAGAAAAGAAGTGCAAATCGAACACGAACGACGGCAATAAGGAGACACCTGTTTTAAGGCCAGGTCCTGAGTCAGAGATGGTGCCAAATGCAGCTGGGAATAGGCATCGTTAGGCTTTGAACAGAGGCCAAATTGTCGACTCCAAAAGGTCGCATTTAAAGGAAAACCAATACGGAAATGACATGCAAATGCGGCATGTAAAATACAAAGCTTCTTGTGTTCTGGTGGTAAGAGCCATCTTGACAAGCCTTGTAAAGCGCTCAAGTTTTAGTAGTAGTAGAAGTAGTAGTAGTTTTCTTTCCCCGAAGCCATAATACCAAATAATGTGTTTTTTATCATTAAAATTCCTGTATTTGAACAGTGGGATTCTCTGATATATGTTAGCGAATTTTGTAAAGTCCTCCGAGATAACTGCTGTTGTGATATACAGCTCTACAAACATATATTTAATTCAACCAGCTGACTCTGTGCATCTGTTTTTGTTGTGTGTTCTGAAACATGGAAGTACATAAGAAGAATTTCATTAAATACAATGTGTGTGTGACAATATTATTAAACTAAACTAAACTAAACTAACTAGTAGTTGGAGTAGGAATCAGTAATTTCATTTTTTTAACCAAAAGACAAAACACATTACAAAAAACAGCAATATACAGTTTGAAAAGGGGTTGGACAAAGTTGACGCTACATTGGTATTTTAACTCCTACGCACAACAACACAACACAAAACGCACACACACACCCACACGCTCACGTGCACACACAACAAAACAACCACCCACCCACCATTGCACAAACACACACACAGACACACACACACACACACACCCCTTACACACACTCACTTAGACAAGGTAAAGGCCCAAACACTCTCTGACCCTACACCTCTGCCCTGTCCCTTCTTTTAACGCTCTCTTTGGACCCAAAATAATTTCAACTTGAACTTCAACTTGGAGTTTTTTGTAGCAGCTATATCAGTAAACAATGAACTGCTCTGCTAATGTTCATTTGTGAGAGATGTTGTTTTAACAGAGAAACTAAGAAGGAAGTACTGTCATGGTTTAAGTTTATTTCCTGTTTTATTTTTAAATGTGTTATCCCTGTGTCTTCTTTGGTTGTACTTCCTGTTGTCTGATTACCTGCCCTGCCCTCATCTGTCTCACCTGTGTCTCACTAGTCTTGTATTTAGCCCTGTGTGTTCCTTCACTCCCTGTTCCGTCATTGTCATTCCTAGTCTGTTTTAGTTTTGTCCGTTCCCTGTGTTTTTGGTAGGTCTCGATTTGTATTACTTTCATTAAATCCATCATTTTGCAGTTTTTGCCTTTTGGGCCTCATTTGTTTTTTACCCACGTGACAAGTACATGTGTAATAATATGAATTAATGATAAATCTTAATATTAGAACGACCTGGTGGTTTTACTTCCTCTTTGCCTGGGCAAAACATGTATCCGCATTCTAAACAACTCAGTGATTAAACAGGAGGAGTGTCCAACTGTTGCAGGAGTTAAGTACTTTTACTCAATACTGACCTCAAATGAGTTAAAAATACACTATTAAACTGTCTTTATACAGTTCAACAATAGAGTTTTAGTGACTGTGACAGAAGCGGTTTATAACAACATCTGGAAACACAAATGAATGTAGTGGCTATTTATTATTAGAAATGCAACTGAAATATTTTAATTTACAAGAAACAATTATGGTGCACTTGGCAGTTACAGAAATGGAATTCCAAAAATGTGGTTGTGGCGCTATCGTTGTCTTTGTCCTCAGACTGCGGGGCAAAAAAAAATGACAATAAAAAAGTGCCACAACAATGACGTTGAGCCAAAACCTTAATGTGTGTCAGATGTGGCCGAGAGTGAGCCACGATTACTGAAGATGGAAACCAGTGTCTGTGAAATCATCTGGATTTAAGTTAACCCTGACATGTCTTTTGTCTCTCAAAATAAAAACTGGTTCTTAATTCATCCCCAAATGTTTGGTTTGTAAATAAGGGGCAAACATTGTTACCACATTTTCAGGAGATGGGTTGGTATATTTTATGAATGGGCTCACTGGCAAACTCTCATGTAGTCAATACGTGGTGTGCATGTGACATCACAACACTCCGAAGAGCCTAACATGTGAAATAGTGGAAACAGCTGAAATAGGACAGCTGAAAAAACTTTCCCGGTAACTATGGCAACAGTTAAAAGCCAGATTTCCAGCCTTACTTTATAGCCAAATGCGGCCCACTTTTTCATTTCATCTGGCCCTCTGCATTTTTTATACAAACTATCCATTGAGGCCCTTTCACAGAGTCATCCAGCCAACTTCAGCTCCACCAATATAGTCATGCTGCACCTTGTTGTAAAGCTCCGAACCGTTGGAATTCAGGCATACTTTTTATTTTAATACCACTGTAGATGTGGTGTTGATAAATATATGATACCCAATTTTAAAGCCAAAAGCCTGAAAAACAGTTTTAGAATGTTATCGGCCCCTGGACTAATCTGGTGAACTAAAGTGGCCCACCGACTAAAATGTTTGGATACCCCTGCCCTAGACCAATCCGCATGAATCAAAAACTGTCAACGTTTCTCACATTCGACTTTGGCCTAATTGGTTTCCCATAAAGACATAAAGGCTTTTTCTCTGATAATGCTCAGATCCAACAACTGAGGGATTTTATCGTCACTCTTTTTATTGTACTGTGATTATTTATCTTAACGCCTTGTTTGTTTGTCTCTATCTAGTTTTGTTCAGCACTTTGAGTCGCCTTGTGCATGTGCATTACAAATAAACGTGCCTTGCCTAAAATCAAAAAGCCATATGCCCGATGTTGGCCTTTTGAATGGACTTTCCGACATGAAAATTATACATTTTACGAATCAAAAACTGACCTGAGACAACATTTGGACAATAAAGTACTTCTAAGTAATCTAGTAATCTATCTACTGTATCAATCTGTCTATTTCTTGTGATGTCTATTTCTTCTATTTCTATGTTCTTTCTGTTTTTTCTTCTATAACCTGTATTGGCACCTGCGCGCCAACCGAGATAGATTTTTTTTGTTTTAGATGAACGTTAACCTGGCAAAAGCCAGATTGATGATTGTGTAGAACTCTAACGCGTTCTCCGCGATATCAATCTGGGATTTCTCCCGGAGAATCCTTTCGGGGAAAGGAGGGGTAAGCAGCAGAATACTTGAAGCTGATTGGGCGAAGTGACGCTGTGTGCCCGCCTACCAAGGTTGCCGTCCAGAAATGTACAAAGCGCCTCTCGCTGTTCATCTTTCAAAAAAGAAATTGGAGATTCTGCTAAAACTGACTTTGCGTCCGTCCTCCTGCGTAGCCATGTTTGTTTTGCTTCGGCCCGGCACTTCTTGCTTTCGTCAAACCCGGATATCCCGCCCTAAACCCCCAGACTGGCGCGTGATTGGCTCGCACACCCAGTGGTTCGACTCGAAAAGTGTAAGCGGGAGCGGTACAAGATGTATTCTCGAGTGTTTGTGAACTCACAAATACCGCGAGAATTCAGCTTGCAGGCAAGGTTAGATGAACGTAGCCTATTGGAAAAACTAGCGGCAGGTTGACAGAAGAATATAGGAGCTCCTGGATTGGCACAGGCCTCCGATGCCGGGACAGGTGCCTGTGTCTGAAGTGCAGCTTGTTGACACTGAGCTTGTGGCCTGTCGTTCGCGTCCGCAGATTATCATAATAAACGATAAGGCGGCTGCAGGAATGCGGTTAATCACAGAGCAAGTCGTCGGGCTGCATATCCTACATATCTCTCTGGAAAATGATCTCTAAACGTGTTCAAATATTCCTCTGTTGGCTCTCCTCGCTGTCATCAGACTGGCATGTCTAAGGCTTGTCATCGCAAAACAAAAGACAACCAACAATTCAGGGCACGCTAAATGCAGTTAGTGAAGGAATGGAGGCAACGAGCGAGCAATTTCAAGGCAAAAAGTCAATAATTGTTACTTGTGGAAAGTATTTGGACACAGACTTATTGTTGCAGGGTCTTATCTCAGTCACTAATGCTGGTTGCAGACCCTAAAAATCAGCGGTACATGAGAATCGGTATGGTATATTCTGCCAACCAAGGTCACCCAATTTGGTCTATGTTCTATTCTCTCCACACACGGTGATGACAGAAGTGGTCTTGCCGCACAGCTGGTCCACAAGAGCTTCCAGGCCCCAGTCGTAGGGTCACAAATCATGGGCAGGCGAACATTCTTACAGACTTTCAAATCATCATAGTTTATTTTGTCTTGTTGTCAATATTTCCCTCCGAGCCAATATTCAAATACATTTTAGCCCATAATTCAAATGAGGTGGATTTGAAAGATGACTTAAAAGGAAGTGGATTGATGTGAAAATGATGTCATCAGCCTAGTTCAGGCAAGGCAAGGCACACAAGGCAACATACATAATCTCAGTACATTAAAAAGAAGAGATAGACAGAGCTGAACTGTTTTCAACCTGGATTTGAATATTGTCAGAAAAGAAGCCAGTCTCACATTTTCAGGAAGACTAATCCAGATTTTAGCTGCATACTCCTGAAATGACGGTGACTTGTTGAAAGTGATTAGTAAGAATATTATTATTGCCATGGGAGTCCCTGGGAATAGAAAGTGAAAATGGAGGCAGGAGATGGATGAGTTTTTATACTGGTGAGAACATAACCCAGGTCTAAACCAATCAAGTTATGTACTGGGGCTTTAATCTAGAATAAGTGTTTACAAACGTACAGGCTGTGGCAGTCTCATGAAACAGTATGTACTTGTTATTCTTCAACGCCTAAGCTTGGGCAATAGGCTAAACCATGCACAAAGCTGACTTATTGTTTAAATCCGTGTGAGAGTAAAGAGTAGCATTAACCGCAGCATAAAGACTTTTCTGTATCTGTATCACATGGGTTTAGATCCCCCTCACAGAAGTCTTTGCCACTTTAACATATGTGTCCAAGGCTCGGAAACTTACCAGAAGTGCATTGAAGCGCTCCTCCAGCTCCTCCTCAGGTGGCATGGGGAGCTTGGCCCGTGTTGGCTTGTGAGGGCCGGTGGATCCTGGAGTGCCATCTCTGCCTGGCTGGCCTTCCAAACCTCCAGGCGTATTCCCCATAGTCACAATCCAAGGCAAATATATTCCACACAAAAAAATCAAAGTGCACAGTTTTTACTTAATTGCAGCATTGGCCCCTGACTTGAGACCCTTCCAGGTGAGTCCATGTTGAAATGTCAATCAAGAAGACTATTGAATTACATGTTATGAAATCCTAGAGAGAATTGAAAGGGGTAGTCAAGTCCACTGAGGCAAGTGACATGCGGAGTGACAGCTGAGTGAAAGAGAAAAACGGGGAGGGGGCTGGTTTTTTAGAAGCTGCCACACAAGTTGACATCAGAGAATGACATATTAAATCGATAAAAAGGCTAAGAAAGGAAGACAAAAAATCTTCTAGTCCAAAAGCCGCAGTGCTGTGATGTAAACAGACTTATTTAAGAAACCAAGTAGTGATAAAAACTCCATCTGGATGCTGCTGCTGCTGCTGCTTGCCTGGTTCTTTGATTTACGTTTCCAAAAATAATGATTAAAAACATGGAGTGATGAGAGAGCGCAGCGGGAGGTGAAGGGAAGAGGGATCCAGAAAGCAGCAACTCCTGCCTGTCTATCCCTATCCGAAACAGAGACGCAGAGAGACGCACCAGCAGAGAGCGCCCCGGGCAGAGGGAGGCGCCTGGGTCCTAGTGCCGTCCTCCAGCCTGGTTTGTTTTGAAGTGTGTGGCTTAAATAAATACTCAGGCAGCAGATGGTGACACAAATGGTACCTCTGATTATTGAAAGGTAATTAAGCAGTTTAATTTGCTTCATTGTTTTAAAATCATTACGCAAACAAATAGATTAGGAGACAATTACATAATGACTAAAATGATCACACTGCAAAAGCAAAAGAAAAGTCTAAAATCTGTCTCACATTTTAAAACTGTTCCTGTTTTGAGCTGTATGCATCTGTCAGAAGGAGGCCAGTCTGTGTGGTCCTAGAGTCCAAATGGTTCATGAAGTGAAGCACTAATGAGACATGTAATTGAAATGGTAAATAAGGTAATCAAACAGGTTCTTTTTTCCATAAATTAGAAATATTTTGAATCATTTGGATAGCAGAAGTAATACATGTTTTCAATCATAGACATTAGACAAGCTTCTAACTAAAGCAGGCATAGAATATTATAAATCAAATATTCATAGTTATTGTAATATGTTCCTTTTTTGAAGTGACCCTAATGAAAAATAGCATTGGCTCGATAATGTCATAATAAGTTTACATAGGGCAGAGTTAGGGTTAGGCTCTTATTTCCCAACAGTTTACAATTATTTGGAAAAAATCTTTTATGTGACAGAAGTGTTCTGAAAGAGTATTTGAACCTAAACTTATCATTATAATTATTGTTTTGGGTTAAATAATACTCAGAGCAACTCAAATAAATATTTTTTCTCTTGCATTAGTATCTGTTTATCTTGTCCAACACTACCTTCTGTCACAAGAGGGCAGTAAGAGAGACTCGAACAGGGTTGTACAACATTTTTAGTCCAGAAAGTAAAACTGTTTTGACTGGCTTCTTTAGATCGAGGCGTGACCATATTGATTCACGTTTGACAGAGCTGAAGTTGGCTGACTGACACATGTTTACCATCTCACATTAGTGCCATATGTTGCGACACAATAAAAAAACAGCAGGTGCCACAGTGGGGCGACTGCGGCTGTAAAGTGCTATACTGTTGTAGTGTCGTTAGGCAAGACACTTCACCCACATTGCCAAGAATAGGTCTGGTGTGTGCGTGAAGGGTTGGTGGTGGTTGGAGGGGCCGATGGCACAGATTGGTTGCCTCGTTTCTGTCAGTGTGCCCTAGGGCAGCTGTGGCTACAGTAGTAGTTTATCACCAGTGTCCAAAAAATCACAATACAAAACAAATGCATTATTATTATTATTATTAATAATAATGAACACATTTTCCAATTTAACTTAACCCTAACCCAGCAATGTTGTTTCCGTATATAAAAAAAACATTTCTTTTGCATAATTTAACTTCAGAAATAGGGCTGGTTTAGGGTTTGCGTTGCTAGAACAGAGTAAAAACTAGAGGCCATTTGCTCATAGACTGTACGGTATGTCACGCTTCAAGCCTAGTTATGCGTTAAACCTTTTTAAGCCTATACAACACGATACCAGGTCCCCATAATAATAATAATCAACAACTTCCCACAACAGGACACAATTGTAGCCCTAAAGCAGACTACGGCTACCAAAGAGGATCAAGCCGGCTAATCACTTTCACAAGTTTTGTCCAGGGCATGATGTAAGCTGTGAGTGTTTGTGAGCAGCTTGGTGGAGAACCATTGGCTACAGGGCGACGGTGCGAGTCCATACTGGAAGCTGTGGTTAATAAGTAAAGAGAGATAAGGTGATACCTGGGATGTCTGACCACACCTGCTGGGTCTATAGTGAGGAGTGAGGACATAAAGCAGCCGGTCCTGAGCTGCTGTTTGACCGGGAATGAGGAATATAACGAGACATGATGACAGAGACTGACATCTGAGACCAGGTGAACCAGGCCCTGAAACACAAGGCCCTTACAACAGTCAAAACACAGCAGAGCAGGGCATAGTAACATAACAAGAGAGAGAGGCTTTCTGAAATCTATTAAAAATAAACTGTAAATGTAAATCTAGATATGTCTGTGGTTTGCTATTGAAGGGAAAGGCAAAGCAGTGCTCAGTCATTGGATTCTCCTTTCTGTCGATGTTGGAGATGTGAAGCCCAGGCCAGATATTAATATACATTTTTCTGCAGTTATGCGTCTATAGCACAGCAGTGAAGGCCCTGACTGTGTCCTTACAGCTACAGAACACTGACATCTAGTGCCCAGATTGTTGCAGATGGAAAGCACCTCCTCCAAAAATCTAAAAGAAGTGGAGTTTCAATGTTGTGTACATGGACTAAGTGTTCTTGTCTCTACATTTACATTATGACTTTTTGTGTTCTTGCTTGGATAACGGAACAACACAGACACTTATGTATTTTTATGTACTTTTATAGAAACCATACAAATACATGCATCAAGTATTAGAACACAAACAAAATCTTAAGAATAAAAAGTCATGTTTATCACAGTCAAGCGCACTTTGGAAGATCTCTGAGACAAGATTGACGTCATGTTTTTTCAGTCAATCTGAGTTTAAAAAACAAATTCAACAAACAAATAAATGCCATCTGCTTTTGTCTGTTTTTTAAAATGAACCATTAACTACATCTTACGTCAGTGTTTGTGACTCCAGTTTCCACAATACTACTTCTGTACAGTATTTACAGTATTAATAAAAATATAGAAAAGGAAAGAGTTTGACTAAAAAGATTTACATATTAAAGGTGCATAATACACATTTTTCTTACAACTGTGTATCTACAGTAGCAGTGCACGTGTTTTGTCAGACTTTGTGTCAAAGAGGGATTCTGCACTGCAGTCATGACTCCCCCTTGTGGCAGGAGCCGGTACTACCTTCTGTGGTGCGAGAGTCTGTCAGCAATAGTTTGATTTTTGTAACACACAAACTTACACAAAATACTGCAAATGTTTTTTTCACCAAATGATTTATAGTCTTTTGTTTCTTTTTTACTGAAATGGTACATTCTGAGGCTGTGATATCAGTTAAAACATAATTGGAGAAGAGTTCTTGTTTACAACTTATAAAACATTGCTACTTGGGAACTTGAATTTGGTGGAGTCGTTGCAGGTGCTGTTTGTGCTCCTGTCGGGAGAAGTAGTGGGCGAACAGGGCGAACAGGGCGAACAGGGCGAGCCGACGCCCAGAGGAGGAGACATGGAGATAGGGCTGACCGTGTGAGAGATGGCTTTAGGTCCACAGGGGCAGCCGCTGTCCCGCACCAGTTTAAGAACGTCATTTCTGAAGCGAACCCCGACCAGAGCGTAGAGGATCGGGTTCAGACAGCAGCGCATGTAGGCCAACGTACAGGTGATGTATTCGAGCAGGAGTCCACAGAAGGGGCCGGCCATTTTGTGCAGGAGTACGACCGTGTATGGCAGCTGGAAAACGACGAAAACCACCACGAGAATGACCATCAACTTCAGAGTGCGTTGACGATGTAATTGCTTGCCTCGCTTAAAAGTGCGGCCATTCCATAAAACTTTACCTATGGAGGAGTAGCACGTGACCATTACTAAAAATGAAAAACCGAAAATCACGATGATGGCTCCGTTTGTGGCCTTTTTCGCAATCCCGCTTGTTTGCATGCCGCAGTAATGTTTGTCATCAACTCCCGAATACTTAATTTCGGGAATGCTTAGAAGCAGAGCGACAAGCCAAACGCAATCTGCTGCGATCTTGCCGCCTTTCAATATTTGACGACGCAACCGTAGCATCTCCTGAGCTTTGGCGACCACCATGTAACGGTCGACGCTAATGCAAGCTAGCAGCATTAGCCCGCTGTATGTGTTGATGGCGTAGCAGGCTCTGGTGGCTCGGCAAAGGAAATCCGGAAAGACCCAACCCAGATGAGTGTCAGTGGCTTGCAGCGGGAGAGTGAGGAGCAAGAGGAGGTCGGCCATGGCCAAGTGGAACAAAAAGACGTCTGTCAAAGATCGGAGGCGAAAGCGGCGGTACAGAGAAAACGTGGAGATGACCAGACAGTTTCCGATGACGCCCGTGATGAAGATGAGGCAGAAGAAGCAGCTCTGGAAGACTTTGATTATGATTGTGTGTTCACCGGGCTCACAATAGTTGTTCAGGTCCAGGTCCAGGTTGATGGAGTCGTTGTTCTCATCGTAGTCAACAGTGTAATCAGTGTAATAACTGTATTCATCAATTGGCTCCATAGCTGAGAAGGGAAGATTATAGGGTTATTTATATGTTATGGACAAATGGAAGACATAGTCACGACATACACACACCACAGAAAATTGGCAAAGTAATCTGATTTAGATTTTTTTATTCAAGGAGGCCCATTTCCTTAGGCCCCAAAAAGTCTATTGACGGGCCTGTAAATTATCTAAAAAAGACACATGTTGATTGCTTTGTTTTCTTAAATAAGGGGTGTAAATAATAGTACAAATATCTTTCTTATCTTTAATGTTGTGTAACTGTATTTGTGGAGTGGGAGGTGTGTGTGACAGTGGTGAGGGGACGTTGCACAGAGGAAGTCATGGGCCTTTTCAGGTCGTCAGATGAATCAGTGTCGCGTGCCAACACTCTCAAACACTCTCCTACACATCAAGTCACTCATCACACTTTCTACATTTGTCATTAAGCCACAGATTCTCTCCTCTGCAGCATCTCTGTCTGTTAAACCATATCTGTAAATAATAACAATTTTGGACATATGATGTATGACATTTGGGAAAGGTAAGACACTGTTTATTGTCTTGATAAATATCACAAAATTCACATTGTGTTGCTCTCATGTAGCTCTCATGTAGCTCTCATGTAGCTCTCATGTAGCTCTCATGTAGCTCTCATGAAGCTCTCGTGTAGCTCTCATGAAGCTCTCATGTAGCTCTCATGTAGCTCTCATGCAGCTCTCGTGTTGCTCTCATGTAGCTCTCATGTAGCTCTCATGTAGCTCTCATGTAGCTCTCATGTAGCTCTCATGAAGCTCTCGTGTAGCTCTCATGAAGCTCTCATGTAGCTCTCATGTAGCTCTCATGTAGCTCTCATGCAGCTCTCGTGTAGCTCTCGTGTAGCTCTCATGAAGCTCTCATGTAGCTCTCATGCAGCTCCCATGTAGCTCTCATGCAGCTCTCGTGTAGCTCTCGTGTAGCTCTCATGCAGCTCTCGTGTAGCTCTCATGTAGCTCTCATGTAGCTCTCATGTAGCTCTCATGTGTCTCTCATGTAGCTCTCATGCAGCTCTCATGTAGCTCTCATGTAGCTCTCATGTAGCTCTCTTGCAGCTCTCATGTAGCTCTCATGTAGCCCTCATGTAGCTCTCATATAGCTGTCATGCAGCTCTCATGTAGCTCTCATGTAGCTCTCATGCAGCTCTCATGTAGCTCTCGTATAGCTGTCATGCAGCTCTCATGTAGCTCTCATGTAGCTCTCATGTAGCCCTCATGTAGCTCTTGTGTAGCTCTCGTGATGGTCCACTCAGTTTTCACCGAGGAAACCACCTGTGGCACATGTCGTCATTTATCACAGCTTTTTGTATGTTCTGGGGTTACAGGATATCGTTGTGTGAAAGAATCAGGTTTAAAACTCTGTTGTGCCTCAGTCCATAATTCTGTGAAATAACATAAGCACCAGAGTCACTGCAGATATGTCGACCTGTGATGTTTGTCTTCTGTATGTTTTATTTTGTAAAGTCCAGTGAGATTTCTACTGTTGTGATTCAGGGCTACACAAAAATACATTGAATAGAATAGAATGTTGTATTTGGTGCCATGACCCTCTGCTCTATGATAAGTTTCTCCCTCAAGAGACGAAAGAATAAATGAGATGCTCACAGTTTGTAATCTACAAAAAGCGCTTGAGTGTTACTGGTTAAATACATAATATACACAATTACACAGTTATAATTAATAAAGTAAATACATCGTTAAATGTAGGAGGGTGTGATTAGGCGCTATATAGGCCTGACTAAAAACTAAACATTTTACCAGTGTGCCCTGCATCCTGGGCCTATCTGAGAAACTCACGTGCAAAGCCTTTAAAAAAAATTATATATATTTATTTTTACTATATATTTATTTATTTTTATTATTTACATATTCATTTTAGTTTAGAAGCAAATCAATTAAACAATTTTGATGAGAGATGGTGACGTTAAAACCTATAATGTCATATTTGTCATTTCTATAAAGTATTTCAAAGGCTTCACTGACTCTCTTTACTGTTCTTACCAAGAGACAACAACAACAAGCACCTTTAAAATGTGGAATAATAAACAGTGTCTTGTCAAAGCGGGGCCCGCGTGACTGCAGTGAGTCACCGCTCGTGGTTTTTGCTCCAGTAAGGGCAGGCTCCTTTTGTGGCACCGGCACCTGCCACAGCTGATTAGTGGCATGTACACAACAAATGGCGTTTAAAACGGCATGTGGACAACAAGTGGCGTTTAAAACGACATGTGGACAACAAGTGGCGTTTAAAACGGCATGTGGGGAATAAATGGCGTTTAAAACGACATGTGGGGAATAAATGGCGTTTAAAACGGCATGTGGACAACAAGTGGCGTTTAAAACGGCATGTGGACAACAAGTGGCGTTTAAAACGGCATGTGGGGAATAAATGGCGTGTAAAGCAGCATGTGGACAACAAATGGTGTTTAAAACGGCATGTGGACAACAATTGGCGTTTAAAACGGCATGTGGGGAATAAATGGCGTGTAAAGCGGCATGTGGACAACAAGTGGCGTTTAAAACGGCATGTGGACAACAAGTGGCGTTTAAAACGGCATGTGGGGAATAAATGGCGTGTAAAGCGGCATGTGGACAACAAGTGGCGTTTAAAACGGCATGTGGGGAATAAATGGCGTGTAAAGCGGCATGTGGACAACAAGTGGCGTTTAAAACGGCATGTGGACAACAAGTGGCGTTTAAAACGGCATGTGGGGAATAAATGGCGTTTAAAACGACATGTGGGGAATAAATGGCGTTTAAAACGGCATGTGGACAACAAGTGGCGTTTAAAACGGCATGTGGACAACAAGTGGCGTTTAAAACGGCATGTGGGGAATAAATGGCGTGTAAAGCAGCATGTGGACAACAAATGGTGTTTAAAACGGCATGTGGACAACAATTGGCGTTTAAAACGGCATGTGGGGAATAAATGGCGTGTAAAGCGGCATGTGGACAACAAGTGGCGTTTAAAACGGCATGTGGACAACAAGTGGCGTTTAAAACGGCATGTGGGGAATAAATGGCGTGTAAAGCGGCATGTGGACAACAAGTGGCGTTTAAAACGGCATGTGGGGAATAAATGGCGTGTAAAGCGGCATGTGGACAACAAGTGGCGTTTAAAACGGCATGTGGACAACAATTGGCGTTTAAAACGGCATGTGGGGAATAAATGGCGTGTAAAGCGGCATGTGGACAACAAGTGGCGTTTAAAACGGCATGTGGACAACAAGTGGCGTTTAAAACGGCATGTGGGGAATAAATGGCGTGTAAAGCGGCATGTGGACAACAAGTGGCGTTTAAAACGGCATGTGGGGAATAAATGGCGTGTAAAGCGGCATGTGGACAACAAGTGGCGTTTAAAACGGCATGTGGACAACAAGTGGCGTTTAAAACGGCATGTGGGAAATAAATGGCGTGTAAAGCGGCATGTGGACAACAAGTGGCGTTTAAAACGGCATGTGGGGAATAAATGGCGTGTAAAGCGGCATGTGGACAACAAGTGGCGTTTAAAACGGCATGTGGGGAATAAATGGCGTGTAAAGCGGCATGTGGACAACAAGTGGCGTTTAAAACGGCATGTGGGGAATAAATGGCGTGTAAAGCGGCATGTGGGCAATGAATGCCGCTTAAAACGGCATGTGGACAACAAGTGGCGTTTAAAACGGCATGTGGGGAATAAACAACATGTGGAAAACAAGTGGCGTTTAAAACGGCGTTTAAAACGGCATGTGGGCATCAAATACAGTTGAAAGCAGCCTGTACAAAAGACAACAGGCAGCTCTAGTGGAGCTAATGGTCCAGTGGCTCAGATGGAAAAGCGCAGGACTACGGTGTTGATGGTTGCTAGTTCAAATCCCCAGTGACTACCAATGACATTTGCTGATGTTGGGTCCTTGGGCCTAACACTTCATGAAGAATGTCAGAAGTGCCATAAGTTGTTTGAAAAATGTTGTTTGAGTTATAATAATTTATGTTATTGCATAAATTTGTTGAAAGACTTAATGTCATGTATTATATACAGTTTAAATTCCACATGAGCTGTGTCATCCAGTGGCGTGCTTGGTTTGTGACTGCCTCTCATGCGGAAGATACCTGGTTCAAATCCAGGACGGGTCATTATTTTTTCTTTGTCAGATTAAATACAAATTTTATATGTATGACATTATAGATATATATATATATATATATATATATATATATATATATATATATATATATATATATATATATATATATATATATATATATATATATATATATATATATATATATATATATATAATGTCATTTTATTTCTCTCTCTTCTTTAATAAAACCACATCAGAAACATGGAACAATAAGAAAGAGCATTAATACATATATTTTTTTATAAAAGAATGCAAAGTATAAGACACAGCAAAGTTATATTTTGTCGAAAGACTTAATTTCATGTATTATATCTGGTTTAGACTGGTTTGTAACTGTCTTCCATCCGGATGATACCTAGTTCAATTCCAGGTCTGGTCTTTATTTTTTTGTTGTCAGATTAAATACAAATGTATAAATATATATTTCATACATATGGTTATGTGTTGTTCCAATAGTAATCTTGCATTAGGATTAATATTGCATCATCGTTAGGGTAAAACTAAATGATGTGTAAAACACTCAAGACACAATTTTATTTAAAACCACCTGGTGAGTGGTATAGTTGGTGTGTGTCCGCCAATCATGCAAGAGTTCGCAGATTCAAATCCAGCCAAGATCAAAAACTTTTTTATGACGGTTATTTCTTTACACATATATATATCTATAAATATCTATATATATATATTTATATATATATATATATATACAGTTTTTATATAACTGCCATTAAAAAAAAAAAACTGTACTTTGATTTGATCTGCCAATCTCACGCACTATAGACGAATGTTTAATGACTGCGCCACTTATTTTGTGTTTTGGTAAAGAAAAAACCGAAAGATTCTATTGTTGTTTTAGGAC